AGTCTCACTATTCCTTTTAGTTCTCACTGTGCCGTTCAGCCTCATAGCGCAGAGGCGACTATCAACTGGGATCCAGTCTAGTAGTGAGTTTTCTGCCCTGGTGCTTAATGCTATACCTACACCTGCAAGACCACGAGAGCTAGCTATCGAATCTCCAGAAACTCGAAGGGTGAATTTTGCAGATTCACCAGATTGGTCAGGAGAGGTCAGGTGAATAACCACACTTGGGTCCTGTATGCGTGTCTCACAAACACAGCACACATCCATGCCTCGAGTTGCTAGAGTCTTTGCCAACGAAGCCTGTTGGCCAATTTGACGGAGGGTGCGGACATTGAAGGCTCCAATATGTAATTTGGAGCGTGGTTTAAGGAGACCAGGGACACTGTTCTGTGGACTCAGATCGTTGTCGAAGGCTGCAGAGGTAGGAGAAATTGAAGATGATGCAGCATCATTAATTAAGAGACGTGAAGGAAGATTAGAAGGTAATGATGGAGGAGGAGGATAGCAGTCAGAAGAAACTTGGGTGCTGACAGAGTTGTGAGGGCGGTTGACACTTCCCGGCTGCCCACACCGTGGAAGGCTATTTCTTCTTAAGGTACCTGAAAGAGATTTGTGTGACCGCAGAGCCCATCGGACATCTGCTTGAGGCCTGTCACACCCAGCCTTTTGAGTATGATTATTTTGAATTTTTGTATTTTTGGGGCCGGATGAGCGAAAGGAAACGACAAGTGAACCAACACCGCCGGCCCGGCAGACCGTGGGGCGTGGTGGAGTGTGTTATTTTTGGGGCCGACCTTTTCTAACCCCCCCTTCCACTGAGAAGGCAGCATCAGCTTGGCACTGCTGGTCATCCAAGGGAAACACCTTACTGCTGTCACACCCCATCCAGCTAGCAGCAGTACGACTTCGCCCTCAGACCCCCATCATAGTATAGCAATTTACACTATGACGGTAACTGCTTTTCGTCTAACCACTACCCAACAGACCTTTCTGGTATGGTAGGACCTCGAGGGAACAAGCGTTCCACCAGCATAGCTCGTTGGGTCATTGTGATATGCAAGCCCGACCACCACGTCAAGGTAGCAGCTATCGGTCGGGACCTACTTAAGCCAACATTGTGTGACAAGGCAATCGGTGACTGAGTACACGTAACACATGTCCCAACCACCTCACTTCATGAAGGCTTACAACCCTGTCAACCGACTTACCTCTACTCCCTAAAACTCTACGCCTCAGCCTGACTTGTGCGTTACTCACATGATGACACTACGGAATACGGCTTATACTACGAAGGCGGTGGTGATCAAACACTTGAAGCCTTTTCATGTCTTCCACCTTCAATGGCCATGTTTCACAACCACAGAGTAGAACAGAGGGGACTGCTGTGCAGCATACGTGACTCTTAATAGACAAATAGATATCACGGTGGCTCCATAGGTGGCGTAAGTTTTCGAAAGTCAGTCGAGCCTTTTGTATCCGTGCAGAGATTCCACCGGCCACTGAGCCACCAGTACAGGGCTGATCCCACTTTCCAGGTAAGTGAAGTGGTCAACACACTCAACCATTACACTCTCTATTTTTATTCGCGATGGGGAAGGGCTGAAGACCAATGGTGGAGCAGCAATTTGCATTTGGGTGGTGAGAAACGCTTCCGAAACATTCTCAGATTCCCACTCAAAGTGTTCAGAAGACTCTGCATCTTGTCAGCGTCTTCACCTATTAGGACTATGTCATCTGCATATTCTAAGTCTGGAGTCCTTAGCTACACAGTAATTGGGTGTAAACTGTCCTGAACCCGAGGTAGTGATACTCCGCATTACTTCCTACTTCTTTGTATTATTTAGCTCCTAAGTTTACGCAGAACTAAACGAGTTATGAGTAGAGTTATGGTAAAATAAAATGTTTTCATAAATTTACGCCATGCCACTAGAAAGTTTCAAGATTGAAAGTAAAACCACCATCGATTAGAGTAACAGAGATACTAGTTATTACATTAGAATAAGACTTAGTTTCATCAGACTTGTCTGGATCGCTTATTATCCCGGTTTCTAAGCAATGAGGAGTCTTGAGTGCCGATTGCAATGAGAGCGGTCGACACCCTCTGGCTGCCCATGACACGGAAGGTTGGTTCTTCTTGAGTTGTCTGATAAAGAAGGCTTAGGACGTTACCATAAAGCCCAAGGTACATCAACTTGAGGCCGGTCACACACGGGTAGGCTGAGTCAGATAGAAAGATACTTGAGTGGTACTTTCGGAATCCTAGTTGAACGAACAGAGTGGTGATCATCTACTACTACTGTGCAAAAGTAACCGTTTGCTTCTATTATTATTATTATTATTATTATTATTATTATTATTATTATTAGTCCCTTGGGTTCCTAGTGGAACATAGGGCTTCAGTAGCACGCCTCCAGTGACCTCTGTTCTCTGAGATCTTTTGAACCTGGTCCCACGACAGCCCACAACCTCTCATTTCCTCCTCGCACGACCTCCTCCATGTCACCCTCGGACGTCCAACTCGTCGCTTCCCATGGGGATCCCACTCGAGTGACTGGCCTGACGCGTGATGTCTTCAGTCGGCCTTCTCAGTGCATGGCCAATCCATCTCCACTTCTTCCTGCATATTTGTTGCGTGATAGGTTCTTGGTTGGTTCGTTCCCAGAGTTCCTTGTTGCTTATTCTTTCTGGCAATCCATCTGATCTTCAGTAACGAGCGTAAGCAGTTGTTGATGAATGTCTGTAGTTTATTGGAAATGCCTTTCGTGACGCGCCAAGTCTCTGAACCATACAAGAGCACTGACTTGACCTTGGTGTTGAAAATCCGTATCTTGTTCCGCATGCTGAGTGCAGAAGATCTCCACACTGGTTTCAGGCTAATGAACGCCTGTCTTGCTTTTCCGATTCTGACTTTGACGTCCTCGTCTGTGCCGCCTGTAGTTGAAATAGTGCTTCCTAGATAAGTGAAGGAGGTTACTTCCTTTAAGTTTCTCCCGTTGATGGTGATTGGAGTTTGTTGTTGTTGTTGATGGTGGTGGTGCGGTATCTTCATCACTTCTGTCTTCTCTATATTCACTTGAAGTCCCGTCTTAGCTGCCTCTTCTACCAAATTGTTAGTTTTTGCCTTCAGATCTTCAAGTTTATGTGACATTAGGCACAAGTCATCGTTGGCGAAATCCAAGTCTTCTAGGTTCTTTTCCGTCGTCCAGCGTATCCCCCTCTTCTCGCTGCCTGCTGTTTGCTGCATGATCCAGTCCACCACAATCAGGAATATCATGGGGGATAGTAGGCAACCTTGTTTCACTCCTGTCTTCACTTCGAAAGCATCACTCAGCTTCCCATTGTGAATTACTTGGCATGTGGCATCTTCATATAGTTGTTGAATGAGGCGGATAAAGGTTTGCGGTACTCCGTAGTATTGAAGCAGTTTCCAAATTACTTCTCGGTCGACGCTGTCAAAGGCCTTCTCAAAGTCGATGAAGTTGAGGTAGAGAGCTGATTGCCATTCTATGCTCTGTTCTATGATGATGCGTAGTGTAGCGTTGCAATTTGGTCTGCACATGATTTGTACTTCCTGAAGCCTGCCTGTTCCGGTCGTAGTTTTGAATCCAGCGCATCTTTAAGCCTCTCCAGGATGATGCGGCTTAATATTTTGCTTGGTTTGGGTGGACAGGAGAGTGATTCCGCGCCAGTTCTTGCAAGCACTGAGGTCTCCCTTCTTCGGCAGTTTGACAAGGTAACCCTTCTTCCAATCGTCAGGTACCTTCTCTTCCTTCCACACCTTCTGCAATAGTGGTGTGAGCATGTCCGCTGTTGTCTCTGCATCTGTTCTCAGTGCTTCTGGCGGGATCCCATCTGATCCTGCTGCTTTCCCGCATTTCAGTAGCTTTATGGCGTTCAGGACTTCTATTTTCGTTGGGGGATTTATGTTCACTTGTAATTCAGCGGCTGCAGGTGGTATTTCTGGACGAAGTGCAGGTGGTGGTCGATTCAAGAGCTTCTTGAAGTGGTCGGCCCATCGTTTCCTCTGTTTCTCTTCTTTCGTAATTAAGTTTCCTTCCTCATCTTTTATTGGTTTCATCTGTGTTGGTCTCTTCCCTGATAGCAACCTGGTTATTTGATACAATTTCGTCAGGTCTCTCTTACCTGCAGCCTGTTCTGCTTCACTTGCCAGTGTTTCGTAGAAGTGTCGTTTGTCTTTGCGTGCACTCTTCTTCACTTCTTTGTCCAGTGCTTTATACATTGTGCTCAGTTCCTCTTGTCGTTGAGCATCCTTGCACTGGTTTATCTTCTGCTTCACCATCCTCCTCTCCTCTATCAGCTTCCAGGTATCCGTCGAGATCCATTCCTTGTCTTCTTTCTTCTTCCTTCCTAATACTGTTGTGCAGGTTTCTTTCCACATAGCTTTCAAAGACTTCCAATGTTCTTCCACACAGGTTTCTTCAGGGATGTTGCTCGATGTCTCCCATTTTGTCTTGATGGCTGCCTTGAAGATCTCCTTTGTAGTTTCATCCTTCAGTTTCCGAGTGTTGTACTTGAATTGAGGTCTATCACCAGCTTCCTTGAAGGCTTTTAACTTGATTTCGAAGGTTCCTTGCACTAGATAGTGGTCTGAACCTACATCTGCTCCTCTTCTTGACCTTGTGTCAAGTGGACTGCGTCTCCATTTTCTTGAGATTGAGATAAAGTCGATCTGATTTTTAGTGTGTCCATCTGGTGAAATCCATGTCGCTTTGTGGATATCTTTGTGCCTGAACACACTGCCTCCAATCACCAAATCGTTGAATGCGCAGAATTCTGCAAACAATTCTCCATTCTCATTCATTTCACCTAGCACCTCTCGACCCATGGTTAGTTCTCTTCCCGTGTTGTCCCCTCCCAGTTTGACATTCATGTCGCCCCACCCATTAGAATTTTGATATCGCCAACTGACGTCTTGTCCAGTGTTGATTGAAGTTGTCTGTAGAATTCCTCCTTTTTCTCTTGCTCTGCATTATTTGTAGGTGCGTGGCGTAGCATTGTATGATTGTGACCTTTCTTCCTTTTGAGTTGAATCTTGCTGTCATGATCCTGGAGGAGATTGGTTCCCACTGCATGAGAGCCTTCGATGCTCTTGAGGACATCATGATAGCCACTCCCTCAGTGTGCTCGTGGTTGGCGTCTGGGTGACAATATTGGAGTAGATTATTGATTCTCCAGTTGACAGTTTGGAGACTCCACTCCCATTCCATCTGCTTTCGCAAATCCCAAGCACCTCGATGTGATACCTTCTCATCTCCTTTGCAATCTGGGTAACCTTACTGGGTTCAAACATCGTGCGGACATTCCATGTCCCCACGTTTACTTTCGCTTTCATCGAGAGAAGACACATCGGCCAATTGGCTTCCCGAAGGCTTTCACCAACTGGCGTCATTTCGCCTCTCCGATTCCAGCGGGGAATAAGTTTGTTTTCATTTTTTATATTTTGTTTGTGCTTTGAAGTTTCTTTAGCGGTTAGATTTGTTTTACGGGGTAGGGTTGCTAGCCCTATGCCCAACCTTCCCTCTTTACCCGGGCTTAGGACCGGCTAGTAACTAGTAAACTAGTTAACCAGGCGAGGTTAACCGTTTGCTTCTAGCTACCATAAACTTCAAACATGAAGAAAGACATGGTATGATGTTACGCCCACCGAGCTCAACTCAGTGATGGACACAGATAGACCACATTGCTATCAGTCATCTCTGGAGAGGGTCGGTGAAAGACTGCCTCGCCTTCTGGAGCACGCGTTTAGATGGCGACCACTCGTTGGTTCAAGGGCGTATGTGTCTGCTTTTCAACGGACACAGAAAAACTTAAGCAACACGACTATTTTAAGCGCAGCTCAACAATGAGAAACTGGCTAGGCAGTTGTCCGAACAAAACACTACCACTCATCCAGAAGAAGCCTGTTGGCATCTCCAGTCTGCTGTAAAAACAGCGTTGAAGACCGTAACCAACTCTCGAAGAGTGGTTAGAAAGAGCCAGTGGATATCAGCAGCTTGTAAATTAATGATCACACGCGAACGTAGCCCTACAGGTTCTGAGTACAATGATGGGCGAGCGCAACTCAAATGTAGACTGAAAAAAGTCTACTCAATGACCTTAAACTGATGGGCAGCGAAAGCTAAAGAGATGGGAAAGATAGCGGCGTTAGGTAACAGTAGACAATTATTTGAACTTATTAAGGAAACTGAGTCGGAAAGGTGTTAGTGAAACTATGGCGCAGAAGGATGGGTCTACAATTCATTTTCAGAAGAGACGACTGGAGCAATGAGCAGAAGACTTTAAGGAAGAGTCCAACTACTATTGTGTTCGGATAGTGTCTTAGATTCTAATTTTCATAATTATTAGACTCCTGAGTGGAGCACGGGAACAGGGAGCTCAAGAAAACCAGACAGACTTCAGACCTGACCGTAGCTGTACTGACCAGATATTCACACTTCGCCAGGTTCTGGAACACAGGCACGCTTACCGACACCAGACATTAGCTGTATTTCTCAACCTGAAGGCGGCGTTTGACTCCGTCGATCGAGAAGTCTTGTGGCAATATCTCACTGAAAAGGGGACCAAGTAAGTACATCACCGTGTTGAAGGCTGTTTATTCAAACATCTGTGGGCATGTTAGAGCGTAAGGCGAGATATCGGATGAGCTGTGCACATGGAGTGTTGTCCGTCAAAGATGCCCACTTTTTCCATTCCTACACAGTTTTATATGATAGATGTTCTTATGGAGGTAACCGTAACGACATCTGACTACACAGAGATTGACCTAATCATAGGAGAGTTTTCGATAGATGTAGATTATGCAGATGGTATAGTTGTGTTAGGTGAGGAAATTGACAAGATGCAGAGTCTTCTGGACATCTTGAGTGGTAATTTGAGAATGTTTGGAATGCGTTTGTCGCTATCTGAATGCAAATTGTTGCTGCATGACTGGTGTTTGACGATGCCCGGGTATGAATAGAGAGTGAAGTGGTTGAGTGTGTTGACCACTTCACTTACCTAGTAAGTCGGATGAGCCCTTCTGAGTTGGTCAGTGGCCGACGAAATCTCTGCTTGGATACAAGAGGCTGGGTTGGCTTTTGCCATCTGTGGTGCTGCCGTGATATCGGCTTCTCTCTATTAAGGGTTGAGTGTACTGTGCTACAGTGGTCTCTGTCGTACTGTATGACTGTGAAACATGGGCATTAAAGGTAGAAGATATGAGAAGGCTTTAAATGTTTGACCACCGTAGCCTTCGTAGTATAGGCCATATTCCGTGGTGTCAGCACGTGAGGCGTAGAGTTTAAGGGAGGAGAGATAAGTCAGTTGGTGCAGTTGTGAATCTTCATGGACTGAGATGTCTGGGAGATGTGTTGCGTATGCCTAATCACCACCTGCCTGCCTCGTTGCAGAATGTTGACCTAAGTAGGTTCAGACTGGTAAATGCCTCGAGGTGGCCAAACTAAAACACGGCACCAATGCATGAAGTTGTTGACTGTTGGTTTGAGCCATGTGGGGCGATGCAGACAAGCCGATTGGGGTCCAGAGGACAGGAGAAACCAGTGGTTGGGGACTGACTAGGTGATATGGCTCAGGACGAATGTCAGTAGCACAGATATATACACACATTGTCGTTATGTCAAGCACTATACCCAATCTCATCATTTTTTTTCATTCCTCCTTCTCTTTTACTACTTTCTACTTCTCTTGACCAATTTATCTTTCTTCATCTTACGTTTTGTTGCCGTGTTACTTGATGTGGTGATATGAGGTGTGGCATCTTGGACCGTTACGCACTAATACCTGGTCATATGTTGATTTTGTTGGTGATAACGATGGTGATGGCAACTTTTAGTTTAGTTTATCTTCTCCAAATTCTACTATGAACTGGTGTCGTCGGCACCAGGATAAGGTGGGCCAAGGAGGCGTGTGGTATTTGTGAACCCAACCTGTTCTAACCCCCTGTCCCCCTAGAGAAGGCAGCATCAGCGTGGCATCGCTAGTCATTCAAGGGAAACATTCTACTGCTACCACATTGCCATCCAGCCAGGAGTGCGACTTCGCCGTCGGACCCCATCATAGCGTAGTAATTTGCACCACGGTGGTAACTGCTTTTTGCCTTATCACTATCCAGGTAGCCTTCCTGGTATGGTAGGATCTCAAGGTAACAAGCGTTTGAACAACATTACTCTTTGGCTGGTTGCGATATTCAAGCCCGACCACTACACCAAGGTAGCAACTATCGGTCGAGAGACTCGAACCCAAGACCAATCGCTTCAAACGCTGGAGCGTTATCCGCTAGGCGGATTAGTCACTGGATAGTGGACAATCGAGCAGTAACAAGACCAGTTGAACTGTTTGTCAGTTGAAGTGGCTTGGACATATGCTGGGCATGCCGATCCACTGCTTACCTCGACATGTCATGCCAGTAGAAGCTGGATTAGGTTGAAAGAGGGTTCAGGGCGGCCACACCAGGACGTGGGATCAGTCGATGAAGTGTCTAACTGTTGGCCTGAGCCGTGCGGGGAGATATAGACTTCCTGGTTGGGGTTCTCGAGACTGTAGGAATCAGTAGTTGAGAACTCTTGGTGACATGGTTGAAAATGGTCAACAATGGCGCAGATTTATTCACTCCTTGACATCTTTTGAGGCTTGAATATTCGCACCAAACGTTATCTTCAGATTGTTTATTCTACTACATAACTTCGCCTACTTTGACATCCCTCTCTTCCTATCCATGTGTTCTTTGCCTACTACTGTGAAATGTGCTAGCTTGAACCGATGCACTTGTGTGCGAGGTTCTACGTTGGTTTTGTCTGTGTGTATCCGATGTATTTGTCGAAGCGTCCCGCCCGTCGTTCAAGCCTTCTCTCCTGCGAATAGATCACAAACCTATAGCAACGATGAATGGGTCTGTAATTCACTCACCTTTGAGTCAAATTAGATGAAGTTGTAGATGGTATATGAGTGGGAAATGATTCCCTGATAAGTCTGAATCACTAATTGTCCCAGTCTTGATAAAAGGCAAAAAGTCTTGTGATAACCACAGGGGAATCATCCTGACAAACGTAGTATCTGTGATTCCAGGTCCTGTAATCATTAATTGTCTCAGTGGAACTCGGGAACAGCAAACGCGAAAAAGCCAGACAAGCTTCAGATCTGTCCGTGCGCATATTGACCAGATATCCACCCTCCACCAGTTTCTGAAATGCAAGCACATTTACTGACTCCTAACAATAGCTGTATTTCTTGACCGGAAGGTGGCCTTCGACTCCGTCGACCTTGAGGTCTTATGATAATGTTTCGCACTGAAAGTGGTGTTGAGTAAGCATATCACTGTGTTACAGGCTCTATGGTTGAACACCCGTGGCCGTATTAGGGCCTTTTGTGAGTTATAAGATGAGTTGTGCATATCGAGTGGTATCCGTCAAGGTTGTACGCTATCTCAATTCCTATCGAGTTTCATCATAAATGTTCTTATAGAGGTCTTGCTGCCGTCGTCTAACCTCTCATGCATTGATCTCATTGTAAGATAATTCTTAATATATGTGGAATGTGTGAATGAAAGTCCTGTGAAATGAATACACTGACAAGATGCAGAGTCCTCTAGATACCTTGAGTCGCAGTTTAAAAATTTTTGGGATCCGTCTCTCTTCACTCAGATGCAAATTGTTGCTAAAGGACCAGTCTTTGCTGGTGACCTGTTTAACAATAGGGAGTGAAATGGTTGAGTGCACTAACCACTTCACTTATCTGGGAAGTTGGGTGAGCCCTGACGAGTCAGTAAACGAGGAAATCTGTGCATGGATACAAAGGTTCACTTGAATCTCGCCAAATTACGCCTTCTATGGTGCTACCGTGACATCCGATTATTTATCAAGGTTTGGTGTGCTGCACTGCGATTCTCTATCCTACTATGTGGTCGTAAAACGTGACCATTAAAGGTAGAGGACAGGAAAGCGCTTCAGGTGTTGGGCCACCGTTCCTCTCGTAGCATAGGTCGTGTGTTGTGGCGTCACCACATCAGTAATGTAGAAGTTGAGTGTATAGTTTTATCGCGAAAAAGAAAGTCTTTTGGTGAAGTTGTGAACCTTCATGAACTGAAGTGGCTGGGACGTGTTACGCATGCCTAGTCACTGTCTAATTTATCGTATGTAAAGCTCTCAACTGACTCACGGAGCCATGTAAACGCTTATGGAGAGTTACCACCTGAAGTGATGACAACCAGCGGTGTATACCTGTGTTGCCTGCTAGCACTATTCGTGATTAATTCCGTTATGGAAGCACTAGCGGGCATAACCCTGCATATCTCTGACTGCAGAGATTGACCTACTCATAGGATGGCACCTGATTGGTTGGGCGACCAGAATAAAACATTACACTAGTCCATGAAACCTTTGTTTGGTGGTTTTAGCTGAGTAGGATGGTCTAGGCTGTTTATATGGGAGTTCTTGAGACTGCATGAGTCAGTGGTTAGCGAATCTTGTTGACGCGACTGGAAATCAGTCAGAATGATAAAAATGTATTCACTCTTTAATGTCTTATAGAATTGGAACATCTTCACTAACTTTTTACTTCTCTCTCCTCCCACATATTGTTGTCTACTCTGATATCTATTGTTTCTATTCACTTGTTCATCACATACTGCTGTAAAGTTTGACATCTTGAACCACTGAACTTCGGTGCTCGATTTTTCATCGATTTTTCTGTCTTTTGTCTACATTTATGGTCAACCTCTTATCCCACTAAAACAAATTTAACGTTATAAGCTTTTGTAAAATAATCAGACACACCAACTGTTTCTTTATTGCAGACAGACAAAATCAACGTAGAACCTCACATAAAAGTACATAGGTTCAAGTTGCCATACTTCACAGTAGCATGTGAAAAACATTTGTATCAACAAAGACTGAGAGGAGAATGAATCTGTAAACTAAGTTTGGGGAAAATGTCGAAGCTTTATAAACCTTCAAAGAGTAAATACATCTGCCACATTGTGATGAGTTTTCAGGTTATTTATTGCAACTACTACCAGTTCTAATTCGAAAATAATAGTAGAACCACAGAATTTATCAATGACTGAGGCAATTAACAAGAGACTAAAAGTACATAGTACTTATATAATTCACTGTAGCAGTGAATAAAATACTCATTAAGATAGTGTAAAATAAACTAGTCATTATCAAATTAACTCGTACTAAATAATGCAGTTTTTATAATAGTTATAAATAAATAACTTTCTAACACTAGAAGTAATACCTAGGCATATGCAGTGATTTTTCTGGGAAATAGTCGCACTATGTAATATCTCCCCTTTCTGATAACTTTAAACATATGGGAGTCTGGTCTTCTTTGTTTTGATTTGTAACCCGCGTGGTTTCTTGTGGTCGTTCTTTCCGACTGGTTGCTCAAAATATACGTTTGGAAAGTTCCATCATTCTGACCGGTTGTTTCTGCACTACAGTGAAGACTTCTAGGATTGAAATACTCTTCAAAATTGTAAAAGCCAGTAACTTGTTGAGTTAAGTCAGTTCATCATTTGTTGTGCATTTTCGCCGACAGTGATCTCATTGTTAAACTATTATGACGTTTCTTGGTTCCTTCTTTTTGTTTGTTTACATTCTGAAGGTGTATGGATAACCCAAATTGGGTGTTTGCAAGGTACACAATTCGTTTTCAGAAATTTCGTTACAGTTTTGTATGTCATCTGCTCAGTATTGCAAATGGTGTCAGGATTGTGGGTATGAAAGCTGTACGAAGCATTCTACTGACTAACATGAGTAGTTGTAGACGAGTGACGCCAATCAGCAGCTCTCGCTGGCCACATCAAGGTGATCTAGACACCAGACAGTCATTTCGCTCTTTTGGGGCCAAGAGCATCAGCAGCGTACGTGAACTGATTCAAGTCAAATTTGCTTCCTTTCTTGTAAACTGAGACAAACGACTATGCTAGGAAAGGAATGACACCTGGCAGTTGCATCTCGACTAGTGCCCTACCCCGTTTACTAATCTTATCTTAACGCTTAGGCACTTACTACTGCTCCTAGCATGACTCTGCCACAAACCGAGTTCTCCAACTAGCCTGTTTCGTGTGTTTTGCAGTCTGTCGAACGCTTATTGATGAAATTCAGGATGAGTCGAAAGCGATTCCAGTTCTAATGTGTCCCTTTGGAAAGTAGTTTTTATTAAGTGTTAGAAAGGTTCTGATAATCGGTTTCAAGGAGTCTTACTGACTTAAAGCTAGAAATTTGTAGAGCCGCACGACTTAGTAGACTGCATAAGGGGTAAGTCATGTTGAAATTTGTAGCTACTGAGAAGCCTTTGGAATATTGCCATGTTTTCCGATGACTTACGACTTTCTGCATTATTGTAACTATGTAATACTTCAAATGTCACATTTTGTGGAAAGCTGATACTTCAGATTCTTTTAACCGCCATTTATGAAGTTTGGATTTCCAGTAATCAGTTTAATTTTGTTTTATGATAGGGTGGAGAAGGTTGCCCCCCAGATAACATCAGAAGTTTCACAAGCCCAAAACATCACAGTTGTCTCGCGTTTATCTCCTCATAGAGGCGTTCAATATACTCGTCCGACGCATAATTTCATTACAACTCCAAAAGATTCAGTTGTTTCATCGGGTTCTGTTGTTGTTATACGACCTCTTGGCAGCACATCTACTCCAGTAAATGTCACTGCAGCTGGTGCTTCCACTACAGGTTTAAAAATCACCCCAATTGTTCCATTAAAGATATCCACGATCCAATCCACGTCGAACGTATCTCGTCCTAATTCCTCACCATCGCAATTGCAAAATACTGCGGTATCATCCTCTACAAGGGTGAGTAACCTCATTACTCATTCTACTCGACCTCAAAATGTTCAATCGGGAGGTAGTACTACGCTTGGTGGGATAGCTGAAAAACCGAAAATGCTAACAACAGCTCAAATGGATGAAAAACAGACATCTCAACGTAATATAATCAGAGAAATGCAGGTATGTTTAGGTATTTGTTCATTGGGCTTTTAGAATATCAAAGTTAAACGTCACACTTTTATACACTACAGTTTAATAGTAGTTTAAGATTTATATGTGAAGTTTGACAGCCATATTATTTATGCACTGATCTAAATTATGGTGACTTATTTCTTCAATACAAATTTTCATTTGATGAATCTAATGTGTTTACCCTAAGCCTATTTACTCTTCAACAACTCTTATGAGGTATAATTCCCTTGAAATTATCGAGTTTCTACTGTTGAACAACGTCTGATACTCGTTGATCGAACATTAAATGGGATGCGAGTTCCACTTAGTATTTATTTCATTTAATCATCTTATTATATGCACACTATTTAACTCTTGTAGAGCTATGACTGCTTTAAAGTTTCTTTAGCGGTTAGATTTGTTTTACGGGGTAGGGTTGCTAGCCCTATGCCCAACCTTCCCTCTTTACCTGGGCTTAGGACCGGCTAGTAACTAGTGAACTAGTTAACCAGGCGAGGTTTGAGCTATGATTTTCATCGAAGAGACTCTGGATTCAAAACTTGTTCCGCTTACTGATGCTAAATAGTCTCATAAAGTCGGTGTAAATGTTTACCTATCGGACGAATGCTTATATGGTCTCTGTGTACTCTGATTGCTTCCCTCTTTGTGTGCTGTTCAAAGTTGTGAACATTCAATCCATCGTATATTTATATTGAATCGTCATTTCAGTCATGTAAACGGTTACTATTACAATGGAAGTTACTTGTATCAATACATTTAAGTAGTATATATAGCAGTTGGAAGTGATAACGATTGACCTAATAAGGATTTAAGCGAAAATACTACCCAATATTGGATAAAAATATCAAGGGAAAGAACAGTATGAACTGAAATACAGTACATTTACTTCTCAAATAGATCCTTCCTTATCAATTGTTTGTGATATACATAGATCCAAGTGAAAACTTGATCGTTGATCGAATTTCCACTCACAAGAAGATTGTTGTATGGTTGGTTGCCGATTTACTATGACCTGAACATATTTAATTTGAAATGAGAAAAAGCCACAAGATTGAGCTTTTAGTCAAAACTTTTCACTCCATTTTTGTTGCTGATAAATACCTAGATTATAAAGAGCATTCTTTGACTAATAGTTTACACAGCTTTATCTACATCAGTTGTTATTTCAAGTCCTTCCCTACTTATGAAGGCTTACTTAGCGCTGTTGTAATGTTAACCTTTACAGTATATGTGCGTTATAGCTTAGTAAGCAATAGCTGCAATTTGTAAAGCTGGTGTGGAACAGATCCCTACCAACAGCTGCTACCTTGGGGTAGTAGTCAGGGTTGCACATCACATTGAACCGAGTTACACTGGCTGGTACGTTTGTTCCCTCAAGGTTGTACCATCCTAGAAAGCTCTGTTGGATTGAGGTAAAACGACAGCAGTTACCGTTGTAGTATCAATTACTGTACTACGATGGAGGTCTGAGGGTGAAGTGATACTGCTGCTAGCTGGATGGGATGTGATAGCAGTTAGGTGTTTCCCTTGGATGGCCGGTAGTGTCACTCTGATGCTGCCTTCTCTACCTGAAGGGGACTTAAAAGAGAACGCCCCGAAAAAAACAGCAGACTACTCTCTCTCCCACAATCTTCCGAGGGCGGCGGTGTAGGTTTTCTCTATCTTTCGTTAGAACAACCAAACCTCAACACAACAAACCACAAAATGGTGTCTGTGACAGACCTCAAGCAGATGTCCCATGGACTCTGCGGTCACTGAAATCTTTTCCTCTTTCAGGTACCGTAATAAGTGTGAGCAATCGGAATTTGTTAACTGCGCGCAAGCTTCCAGTAGCACACAAGGCCCCGATGGAACATATCTTTTCTGTAATAAGCGAAGCACTGGAAGCCAAAGGTGCATTGTGCAGTTGTTTCGTCCTCTGAGTTGAAATTAAATGGTTCACATTTTCTGATTTCTGCTAATTAATGGTATAACATGGTTATCATCCTATGTCATAGGTGAGTATTTGTTCTCAGTAATGATAAACCCTGAGCTACTCAGACAAAAGTGTTCAATGCTACTTGGTTTTCAGTAATTCTCTAACTGATAACGATCCATGATAATAACTTCTTTGAGATTAATCAACTCTCTACAAACCTCCAAAGGTGAATAACTTTCGTGTGTGTGTGTGTGTGCGCGCTACTGTTTTGTACATCCGCTATTTACATTGATTTCCGTATATAAGTAATATTATCGGAAGAACCGCAAAACTTATTGTTTTTTCTGTAAACTATATAATAATTAAATGTAAGATTGGGGTAAGTAATTCATAAAATAAGCTGATAACTATTTGTTAACATGTGAAATCCAGTGATAATAGTGACCTAGTGAAAACTTAACATGTGAAGCAGAGTTCAAGTATATCATCTGATTGAATATTGCATAGTTAAAATATTTAGACGTAGATATATACAAAAGTGTTCATCTTTCAAGAAAAAACTTACTAACCTATTAATTGAAACAATTCAGTAACAATATACAGATTATTAATGTAATAAAACTCTGTATTACATTTATTGAATTGGTTTAACTGATACTATTTGTATCTTGAAGATCCTAAGTTGACAATTATAGATTTGAATTCATAGTTGAGTGATTAAAATTCTAGTGTCTAGGTTACATTTACATAGAAATTCGATCAGTAGTACTCAAGTATATACTCAAGTATATTTTCAGTCTATATGATATTGCTTGATTACGTGTATTGATGCCAATAGCTCTTTTTTTTCTACTATAAAAACAAGTTAATACGAAATTGGCATTCTTTCACAATATCTTGAATACCTTCCTGTGTGCTAATGAAAATTATTATTATTATTATTATTATTATTATTATTATTATTATTATTATTCGATAATGATTGAGGGTGAAATGAGAATTTGAACCTCAGCCGGATTCAAACCATCGACCACCGGGATTCCAACCCTTATGCTCTACCAACTAATCTATGAGACTCGATTGCTGACCAGATTTTTACTTCACTTTAGTCACCGTGAGTTTTGTCTGATTACCTTGTGAATTCATGACGCGTTACTACCGCTTGATCGTATTTACACTGGCTACCTGTCTAGTCAGAAATTCTCATCCTGATCCCAATCTATTTGAATTAGATAGGGATTGAAATGAAATAAGTGTCTAATCAACAGTCAGATCCTGTAGCTTATAGCATCAGACTGGAAACCCAATCATCTCTGGTTCGAATCCCTCTTGGACCGAACTTTTCATTTCATCATCATCCGGTATCACTACTAGTCTGTCAAATCATGCCTGTCTCAGATAGTCAAAAATGATAAAAAATATTTAGTATTCTAGATATTTCTGTAGTTGATAATAAGCACTCTGTTTATCCTTACCTATTTTTGCCCAGAGCTACTGGCTAGTGTTGTAAGTTTTTACATCACTTATAGCTCATAACCTGGTTAATGTATAAACCTATACCATGTAAGTAAGTTATATTAGACTACTATTTGTCTTCACAGTTCTTTATTCATACTCGTTGTTTTTATATGATTTAATTTCATGGCCAAAAATTGTAGTGATGGTAATGCGACAAAATTGAAACACCATCGATACTAAAAAAAATAGATCACACAAAATGCGGCAACATTATAAAAATATGAAGCAAAAAAAAAGAGGTATAGTATAAGACACCTAATTGAAAAGTGGTCTCATAAAACACATTCAGTAGAGATTGGATGAGGTTGTGTCTTCGACTCCACTCAGTAGGTCTTAATCCAGCATGCCTATTCTTTATCCCACAATTCCATGTCATGAACTAACCATTTTAGCAAACAAAAATCTATGCTGAAACCATTGGGACAATATATACTATTTTGAAATCATTCATATATTCTTTTAATGATTTATGGGATATGTCTATTTTGTAAGATGGCATTAGATAAGGCTCATTGGTTTAAACATGCAAATTTTAACATATCCGAGGTTTAAGTCGGGTAGTATTATAAGCGCTTACACAACAAGTGTGGCTTATCGCCTAGTGTGTAAACATAATCTCAACTGAGTTCATCCATCCAAATCAACATAGGACCAGGCATTACTGCGTAACACTCCAAGTTGCCACACCTCATATCAGTACATCAAGTAAAAAGTCAGTGCGGCGCAAGATGAAGATAAGAGAATGTAGTCAAAAGAAATATAAAGAAAGAAAGAGAGAAAGGAAGAATGAGAAAGTGGTGGGATTCGGTATAGAGCCACTTACATCGTTTCTGAGCCATATCACCTAGTCAGTCTCCAACCACTGGTTCCTCTTGTCTCGCGGACCCCAACCACCTAGCCTACATCGTCCCACATGGCTCAAACCAACAGTCAAAGACTTCATACATTGGTGCTATGTTTTAGTCTGGTTACCTCGAGCCTTTATCCAGCTTGGACCTACTTCGGCCAACATTGTGTGACAAGGCAGACGGTGACTGAGTACACGTAACACATGTCCCAACCACCTCACTTCATGAAGGCTTACAACCCTGTCAACCGACTTACCTCTACTCCCTAAAACTCTACGCCTCAGCCTGACTTGTGCGTTACTCACATGATGACACTACGGAATACGGCTTATACTACGAAGGCGGTGGTGATCAAACACTTGAAGCCTTTTCATGTCTTCCACCTTCAATGGCCATGTTTTACAACCACAGAGTAGAACAGAGGGGACTGCTGTGCAGCATACGCGACTCTTAATAGACAATTGGATATCACGGTGGCGCCACAGGTGACGTAAGTTGGCGAAAGTCAGTCGAGCCTTTTGTACCCGTGCAGAGATTTCACCGGCCACTGAGCCACCAGTGCAGAGCTGATCCTACTTCCCAGGTAAGTGAAGTGGTCAACACACTCAACCATTACACTCTCTATTGTTATTCGCGGTGGGGAAGGGCTGAAGACCAATGGTGGAGCAGCACTTTGCATTTGGGTGATGAGAAACGCATCCCATGATCATCATATTATTGTCTTAATCGAAGTAACCAAGTGGATTTCAAACCGGAAACTAAAAAATCTTTGTAGGATACTTATTACTGTGCGCTCCGGTTCAGTCGGATTACTTCAGCTATGTGTTTCAACTTTTGGAAAACTTCCATATGTGTAATTAACATGAATTCAACCATTCATTCATATTTTTTAGGTCAGAGTTCCGAACAAGAAAGATAAGCGATTTAGTGTACTACGTTTCCATGCAGCTGACAGACTTGACTTGTCATCAGCACCTGAAGTCTTTATGCAACGCGAAAATAACCTTAAAGCTTTTCGAAGCTTGTATGGCACAACTGAAATGCCAGACACAGGTGCTGGTAGTGAATATGGACGCGAAGCTAAAGAGGAAGCAAGATTAAAGAAATACGGTGTTGTACGTGAGAGCTATAAACCAGATGATCAACCATGGCTAATGACAGTTGGAAAAGGCAAAGCCAGTCGTCGTCGTTTTAAAGGGGTCCGCGAAGGAAGTGTATCAGAAAATGTGGAGTATTTTGTGTTTTGTCAATGCAAAGATGGTAATTTTGATGCTTACCCAGTGAATGCATGGTAAGTAGGAGTAAACTATATCTATTTACTGTTAAACCACCCACTAATTCTATTTTTTTGATCAGTAATTTTCGTTATATAAGTCTAAACATTGTTTTCCAAAGGTTAGGACATTCTTAGTTACTTTTTGAAAGCACAGTTTTTACTCAAATCTGATATCTGAGAAGATTATGCTTGCTCCTTGTGAACCGTAGAAATGTTGTGGTTTGTTCACAAACCTTTCAACACATAAGTCTCAGCCTCATAGAAGAGGTTTAGTTGGTAAAGCCAGCTCGGTTAATATTTCGCGTCAATTTCCCAATTTTCTTGGCTTTCCGCACACTGAAAAAGTCTCGGGTAAGTATATCCCTCTGCAGATGGTCCTGTATTCGAATACTTGAAGAGACACCTTAGAGCCTGCAGTGCGGTATCAGGTAGACAAAAGACCAAGGTAGAACCTCGCTTTGCTTCGAGAATTCTCATTTTACTCAGTCTTGTGTAAAGAACAAGTCCATGGAAAAACAGCGATATTATGATGGATAAGAAAAGAAATTTGAAAAATAAAAATTATTGGATATATTCAAACTTTAGAAGACGTCAGAGGAAATACATCTGTGCCATTGTAACCGACCAACAGTCTTCAACCACTGATGCCATATCCTGGTCTCGTCACCCTGAGCCTTCTCCCAACCCAATCCTACTTTGCCTAGCATGGCACGTCGAGGTATGCAGTGGTTCAGCGTGCGCAATACATCTCCAGGCCGATTCATTGAGCAACAGTACAAAACCTCATCAAGTGACTGGGCTCTCTTGCCCAATATCTATCACCTAACTTCCAAACATTCCTCACACGGGCCATCAACGTGAGACCTGGCATCATCATGTATCCGTCCAAGTTGTTATATCTCACCTTATCGCACCGAAATACAATGTAACGAGATGAAAAAAGTGTTATCAAATGTCGTAGAAAGTGTGATAAATAGAGGGATCAAGTCAGAATGAAAGTCAAAATGAGGATTAAGGTGAAGAAAATGTGTAGATAGATCTACGTGGCTGATATCCATCCTGAGCAATGTCACCAACAGTCTCCAGCTACCGATTTCGGTTGTCACACAGACCCCAACAAAGAAGTGTAAATTTCTCTACGTAACTCAAACCAACAGTTAGAGACTTCGGGGACTGATGTCATGTTTTAGTCTAACCGCTTCTAACCTTTTTCCGACCTGAACCTGAGTCAGCTAACATCATATGATGGGATAGACAGTGACTGGGGATTTGTAACTCGTCCCAGCCACGTGAGTTGATGAAGGCTCATAACCGCATGCACTGGCTTACCTATTCTGTCTAAAAATCTACGTCTTCTGAATTACTCACGTGTTGATACCGCGGTACATAGCTATGAAGATGATCATAGTCAAACACTTCTCATGCCCTCTACCTTTAATGACCATGCCAGTAAACCTGATCATGGAATTTGTCGAGACTGAACACTGGGAGAAGTCACTGACTCAAAGGCTAAGGCAGATATTTAGCGTCTTCTGGCCTATAACTATCTTACAGGTGAAATTAATTTGTGAAGAGACCATCTTCGAATCAACTAGATCTTCAAAAACCTACGTACCAATCTTAACTTCGTCTGCAAATAATTTACTCTAAACTAGTTGTCTGTGTTGACCATATTCCTTCTTATCATTACTAAAATTATTCCATCACCTTTTGAAACAGTGGTCGAAGCCTTTTCATTTCCTCTACTTTTAATGGTCATTTTTCACGGCTATATGGTAGAGCAGACCAAACTGCAGAATAGTATACTTCCTCCTAATAGGCAGCTAATCTTTTACACCCATCCAACGTATTTCATCAGTCATTGGTGTACTGGGGCTGATCCGACTTCTCAAGTAAGTTGAGTGGTCAATGTGCTCAACCACTTCAGTTCTTATTATTAGACCTAGACGCCAATGTAGATCAGTCTTGAAGCAACCGTTTGCATTTGGTTGGTGAGAAACTCATCGTAAACATTCTGAAATTGCCACTAAAGATAGATGTGCAAAAAACTCTTCATCTCGTCAGCGTCTTCATCCAGCAGGACTAAGAAATTTCCGTGTAAAGTCAGACGAAGACTTCCTAAAGGATGTGTGTAGCGAAATAAAATAAAAATAGGGAGAGGAGACGTCTTTGATGGACACTACTTGATGAAAAACTCATGCCGGACCCTAAATGTGTCATATTTCTTGGTTCGAAGGTAGTGTTCGAATCTGTCACCTAAAAGATATCTGATCGTGAAGGAAGTTCCAAGCTAGTATGCAATGCTAATCAAGAATATTTACTCAAACTCACGCAGCCGTGTAGGGGATGATGGGGAGTTGTCGTTAGAAGTGACGAACAGGGTTGTTGACTAGGGATGCAGGTTCTCACCGTTCCAGTTTAACTTCGCTATAAATGCGCTAATGGACATAACCCTGCATAACACCGACTTCTCCGAGACTGACAGGAGGACATCTGGTTGACTTAGACTATGTTTTTATTTAGCCAGGCGAGGTTAGTGGGATATAATACACTCGTTCAAATGCTGTTTAGGTTTATGCTGAAGCATGTGGTTTGTTTTCTCCATTCAAATGACCCCTGGTCGCGTAGTGTGTCCTACTAACAACTGAATTGAGCCTTTTCTTCAAGATAAAACTATTCGATTCACCCCTGTATGAAGATATGATATACACTTTATATCAATTGGTCGCGGGAGTACAACCAATTTCATATGGTTTAGTCCTGAGTGCAGATCGAATCCTATCAATCATATTTGCAATGTGGCTGCCAAACTAAAAGGCTCAGCATCACGATACACATTATTAAATGTCAGTTGGTTGGAGGCAGTCGGCAGGAAGCCTTGGATCTAGGTTTCGTGCTTGTAACGCAGTCCTGCTGGAGGCCAGTCGTGACCCGGATAGCTTAGTTGAAGAGTCCCTGACCTCTATTTATTTCGTGCCTTCTGTGTAAATACGACCTTTCACTGCACTTTTACTTCTATTACTTGTCGCTTGGGCTTCTAATGGAACATAAGGCTTCAGTAGCACGTCGCCATTTCACTGTACTCTGCAATTTTTCGAACCTGACTCCACGACTGCCCAGAAGCTCTCATTTCCTCCTCGTACGATCTCTTCCATGTCACCCTCGAACACCCAACTCATCGTTTCCCCTTTGGGTTCCACTTGAGGGCCTCGCCTGACTTGTAGTTTCCCTAAACCGTCTTCTCAATATATGTCCAGCCCAGTCCAGTCCAATCCAATCTATCTCCACTTTCTTATGTATATTTGTTGCCCGATGGGTTCTTGGTTGGTTCGTCACCAGTCACAGTGAGTTCCTTGTCGCTGATTCTTTCTGGCCATCTGATCTTCAGTATCGAATGGGCGTAGGCGGCAGCTGTTAATGATGTATGTCTGCAGTTGTTTGTTGGAAATGCTTTTCGTGACACGCCAAGTCTCTCAACCATCACACAGAAACACTGACTTACTTGACTGACATTAGTGTTTAAAATCCGGATGTTGTTCACGCTTTATGCTGAGTGTATTGCAGTGCAGTGCAGTGCAGTAGATCTCAACTCTGATTTCAGATTAATGAAGGAAGGGCTGTCTTGGTGTCTCTTTGATCCTGTATTTGATGTCCTCACTTGTGTCGCCGCCGCCGCCACCACCTGCAGTTGAAATGATGCTGCCTGGATATGTGAAGGAGGCTACTTCCTTTAGGTTTCTTTCGTTGATGTTGATTGATGCTTGTTGTTGTTGGTTGGTTGGTTGGTTGGGTGGGTATTTTCATCACCCCTGTCTTCTCTACGTTCACTTGAAGTCCCGTCTTCACTGCATAGCATCGCCTCTTCTGTCAACTTGTTAGTTTTTCCTGTAGATGTTCGAGTTTGTGTGAGGAGACATTAGACATGAATCATCCTTAGTGAAATCCAAATCTTCTAGAGTGTTTTCATCGGTCCAGCCAACGTATGCCCCTCTTCTCGCTCTTCACAGTTGTCTGTTGCATGATCCAGTCCACCAGGATGACGAAGATTATCGGTGATTGTAGGCAACCTTGTCTTACTTCTGTCTTCTCTTCAAAGTCATCACAGTTTTCCATTGTGAATCACTTGTCATGTAGCCTCACCATATAGCACATAGCTGTTGAATGCGGTTGATAAAGGATTGTGGCACTAAAACCGTAACCGTAGTGTTGAAACAGTTTCCAAATTACTTCTCGATCGATGCTATCGAAGGCCTTTTCAAAGTGGATGAAGTTGAGCTTGATTTGAGTTGACTGCCATTCTATGCTGTGTTGTATGATGATGCGTTGAGTAGCGTTGCAATCTGATCTGCACACGATTTGTTTTACCTGAAGCCAGCCAGCCAGCCTGTTCCTGTAGTAATTTTGAATGCACAGCACCTTTTAATCTCTGCAGTCTGATGCTTGTTGTGGACAGAAGTGGAATTTCGCTCGAGTTCTTGCAGAGACTTAGGTTGCCCTTCTTCGCTTGTTTGATAGTTTGACAAGTTAGCCTTTGTTCCAATCATTGGGCAGGTACCTTTCCTTCCTTCCTTCCTTCCAAACGTTCTGCAATCGTGGTGTAATGTGGTGTGGTGTGAGAATGTCCGCTGTTGTTTCTGCGTCGGTTTTCAGTGGTTCTGGTGGAATTCCACCTGGTGGTGCTGCTTTCCCGGCTTTCAGCAAGTATATGGCGTTCATGACTTCACATGTGGCTTTGTCGGAGGGCTTGTGTTTACTGGTAATTGTGTGTCTGGTCTGCTGGTGATATTTCTGGATGAGTTGGAGATGGTTGTGGTGTTGGTGTTGGTGGTGGTTGATTTAAGAGTTTCCTGAAGTGGTCATGCTATCGTTTCCTTTGTTTCTCCTCTTTGGTAACGAAGGTTCCTTCACTATCTTTGATTGGTTTCATCTGCGTTGATCTCTTCCCTGTGAGATAGCAACCAGGTTGTTTGATATAATGTTGTCAGGTCTCTGTCTGTGCTACATGCAGCGTGTTCTGTTTCACTTGGAAGTGTATGGTAGAAGTGTGTTTTGTCTTTGAGAGCACTCTTCTTCACTTCATTGTGGAGTGTAGTGTTTTTCTAGGTTGTGTCCAGTTATTCTTTTCATTGTTCATCGCTGTACTTCACTGGTTTATCTTTTGCTTCACCATCAGCATCTTCCTTTCCGTGTTTTATAGGCTTCTATGTGTGCGTGGCGATCTGTTGCTTGTCTTGGCTCTTTTTCTTCCTTCCTAACACGGTTATGTAGGTTTCCTTCCACATCTCTTTGAAAGAGTTTCAGTGTTCGTCTACGCAGGTTCTTTCATGGATGATGCTTAAAGTCTGCGATTTTTTCTGATGTGTGGCTGACGTGAAGATGTTCTATTTAGTTTCATCCTTCAGTTTGTTTTCTGGGTGTTCAACTTGAACTGTTGTCTGTCAGCAGTTTTTTTCAAGGCTTTCAACTCGATTTTGAAAGTTTCTTGCACTTGATAGTGAATGGTGTGAACGTACATTTGCTCTCTTCCTTGATGTTGTGTCCACTTTCTTGAGATTGAGATGAAGTTGATCTGATTTTCAGTGTGTTCTGGTGTCTGTTGAAATTCATGTTGCTTTGTGAATATTCTTGTGCTTGTACACAGTGCCTCCAACATCATCATCAATATCAACATAGGACCAGGCATTACTGCGTAACGGTTCGAGTTGCCACAGCTCATATCAGTGCATCAAGAAGTAAAAAGACAGTGAGGTGCAAGATGAAGATAAAAGAATGCAGTCAAAAGAAATATAAAGTACTCTAAGAGAGAAAGGAAGGATGAGGAAATCGTGAGATTTGGTATAGAGCCGTTAAGATGAGGATAATGTGTGTATACATCTACACCACTGACATCGGTTCTGAACCATATCATCTAGAGTCTGCAACCACCGGTTGCTCTTGTACCTCCAATCACCAAATCATTGAGTTCGCAGACATCTGCAAATCGTTCTCCATTCTCGTTCATTTCACCGACTGCTTATCGACCCATGATGAGTTCTCTTCCTGTGTTGTCCGCTCCCAGCTTGGCATCCATGTCGGCCATAAGAATTTCGATGTCACCAACTGAAGTGGGGCCTTATCCAGTACTGATTGGAGTTGTTTGTAGAATTCCTCCTTCTTCTCTTCCTGATCTGCATTATTTGTAGGTGCGTAGTGTAGCATTGCGTGGTCGTGACTTTCCTCCTTTTTTGATTTGAATCTTGCTGTCGTGATCGTGATCCTGCATGATGAAGAGATTGGTTCCCACTGCATGAGAGAGAGTCTTTGGTGCTGTTGGGTACATGATGATAGCCATTTGAAAACTCAGTGTGCTGTTCTCGTGGTTGTCGTGTTGAGTGGGTGAGAATATCGGAGTGTGTTATTGACTGGTGTTGAGTTGACAGTTTGTAGAGTCCACTTCGATTTGATCTGCTTTTGCAGATTCCTAGCCTTGCACTTCTCTACGATATCTTGTCATGTCTTTTGCAATGTGGGGTGCCTTGCTATGTTCAAAGGTGGTGCGGACATTCCATGTCGCTGTGTTTACTTTCGGTTTCATTGATAGAAGAGAAGAGAGGAGAAGAGACATCGGTCCGGCTGATTGGCTTCCTGAAGGCTTTCAGCAACCGGTGTGATTGTGTCTCCCGGATGGCAGGGAGGAATAAGTTTGTTTTTGTTTTTAATATTTTTATTGTGCTTTGAAGTTTCTTTATTGATTGTATTGATTGGTTTTTTTGGGTAGGGTTGTGTCTAGCCCTGTGCCCAATCTTGTATGTTTATCCGTGTTTAGAACCGGCTAGTTACTAGTGAACTAGTTAGCTAGGCGAGGTTGCATTTCTGATTGATATGCTGATATGAGCTGTGACAACTGGGACCGTTACGCAGCAATGCCTAGTTCTATGTTGTTTTGGATGAATGGATGATCTCAAGTACGATCAACTCTAATAAAGTAAGTACCTAAGTCACACTTGTATTGGCCTGGACAATAACTACGGGAAGTAAGTTATTGTCCTGTCCAAGTCAGAAAGGTATTGATGCTACACACCTGGAATGTTTAACCACACAATTTCAAGGAGTTCTTGAATGGTTTTCCTATCTGTTCTAAGATATTTTGTCCTGGCAGTAGTTTCTGTAGAGTTGTACAAAGATGCCATTCAATGAGTGAAAGGATTTCAGACTGTCACTTCCTTATTTTGGTAGTTCTACAATTTAGACTTCTTTTACTCTTGGATATAGTGTACAGTCAATACCATCTCTCTCCACGTCAAGTGTATGCTTTATAGTTTATATATTCTGTAAATGGAAGGAATAACTTAAAGATATATAAAAGTTAGTAGTTCTACACCTTCAGTTCTGGGGTCACTTAGATTATCATGAACTTGCTGTAAACCAATCGATTGAGAAATATTTTTTTCATCAATAAAAATGCCAATATAATATTTACCTACCATTTCATCATTGATCATAACAACTTAATGTGAATACAGGTACAAAATGAAACCGGAGATAAACTATCGTTTTCTTAGAGAAGATGAAGCAGAAGCAGAATACAACCGATTGCATAAAACACTCAATTTATTCAATGTTATGGTTAAACGTAAACTGACTGATAATATCGGTGAAGAGGAAACAAACATGGATAGGGAAATTTCAAAAGGGTTAAGGTAAGCTTAGTTTTATATTTTCCCCAATAAAAATAGCCTTGTACTTTTATACTTTCTTCAGATATAATACTTTGTTCATTTTAAGATCTGTTCACTTGTATATCTTGAAGAATTGTGAAAATCTTTTTGTTTCATCTCATATAAATCTAGTGACCGTTATACCGTTTACGAAAGTGAATTATGAATTCAGCATTAGTATTGTAGTATTCGCTAAAACTAGTTACTCAGAATGATTGATGAAGAAAAACAAGAATTCTAATTAATATAAGTGTAAAACTTGGACACTGTGGTCGAGTGTAATTCCATTTTAGTCTGTTTATTAGAAATATTACACAGTGAGGGAACAGTAGCATTTACTGGATAATATTTCGGACATAACTTACTGTCCATATTCATATCAGAGTAATTCCACAACTTCGAGACAGTCTTTATATATTCCTAGTTTTCTCTCCTTCTCTGTGATGACAAGGGTAGTAGAATTCTCCATATATCTTGGACAGGTGCAGAATCATTTCGATTGCATGTATTTCGTGTTGATTCAATAAACAAAGATTCGGTTATCAATCTCTCCCTCCACCCAACTAAGTTACTTTTCAACACTGTCGCTCTATCCCCCACTCTACCATGTGATTGTTTGTCATCGCATGCAAAGCTATAGCCGAGTTTTCCTCTAGATTTCTTATCTTATTAGAATCTACCAATGTTGATTTAACTAAGTTTTTTTGCTCTGTTTTTCTAATCGACCCTGGTCGACTGCTTTGACCTATGTACTTGACCTCTCAATCATTTCAAGGGATCTGGTAAACCAGATTATTTTTGCTTAATTGCCTGGATAGGATCTTTTGACCTACAAAGTTTGTTTCTAAGTGAGTTTGTTGGTTTGAATGCCAGCCACTTTAACCCAGCCAGCCTTATTGCGAATTCTTCATAGTGCTTCTGAGGTGCCTCCCTTGTATGGTAACAACGACAGAAGCCTTGAGTTCTCTCCTAACCCTGTCACCATTATTACCATCAATGATCAATTAAGCATAATAGAGTGAAAAAGCTTACTAGTAGATCGGAAAATCTGCTACAGGAAATTAGACACATCAAGAATGCCCTGCATCTCAATAATTATCCACCAAAATTTATAAATAAATTCATAAGAAATCGAAAGAAAAATATTAGCAGTGGTAGTAGTATTAATACAGTTGTTATTAATAACAATTCTACTACTAATGGTAATAATACTGACAGGGTTAAGAGGGAATTCAGATTTCGGAGCACAGGCACGCTTACCGACACCAGACATTAGCTGTATTTCTCAACCTGAAGGCGGCGTTTGACTCCGTCGATCGAGAAGTCTTGTGGCAATATCTCACTGAAAAGGGGACCAAGTAAGTACATCACCGTGTTGAAGGCTGTTTATTCAAACATCTGTGGGCATGTTAGAGCGTAAGGCGAGATATCGGATGAGCTGTGCACATGGAGTGGTGTCCGTCAAAGATGCCCACTTTTTCCATTCTTACACAGTTTTATATCATAGATGTTCTTATGGAGGTAACCGTAACGACATCTGACTACACAGAGATTGACCTAATCATAGGAGAGTTTTCGATAGATGTAGATTATGCAGATGATATAGTCATGTTAGGTGAGGAAATTGACAGAGTCTTCTGGCAGAGTCTTCTGGACATCTTGAGTGGTAATTTGAGAATGTTTGGAATGCGTTTGTCGCTATCTGAATGCAAATTGTTGCTGCATGACTGGTGTTTGACGATGTCCGGGTATGAATAGAGAGTGAAGTGGTTGAGTGTGTTGACCACTTCACTTACCTAGTAAGTCGGATGAGCCCTTCTGAGTTGGTCAGTGGCCGACGAAATCTCTGCTTGGATACAAGAGGCTGGGTTGGCTTTTGCCATCTGTGGTGCTGCCGTGATATCGGCTTCTCTCTACTAAGGGTTGAGTGTACTATGCTACAGTGGTCTCTGTTCTACTGTATGACTGTGAAACATGGGCATTAAAGGTAGAAGATATGAGAAGGCTTTGAATGTTTGACCACCGTAACCTTCGTAGTATAGGCCGTATTCCGTGGTGTCAGCACGTGAGACGTAGAGTTTAAGGGAGGAGTTGTGAACCTTCATTGACTAAGATGTCTGGGAGATGTGTTGCGTATGCCTAATCACCACCTGCCTGCCTCGTTGCAGAATGTTGACCTAAGTAGGTTCAGACTGATAAATGCCTGGAGGTGGCTAAACTAAGACACGACACCAATGCATGAAGTTGTTGACTGTTGGTTTGAGCCATGTGGGGCGATGCAGATAAGCCGATTGGGGTCCACAAGACAGGAGAAACCAGTGGTTGGAGACTGACTAGGTGATATGACTCAGGACGAATGTCAGTAGCACAGATATATAGACACATTGTCGTTATGTCAAGCAGTACACTTAATCTCATCTTCTCCTTCTTTTCTTTTGCTACTGCTACTTCTACTTCCTCTCACCAATTTTTCTTTCCTTCTTTATCTTCCATTTTATTGCCTTGTTACTCGATGTGCTGAAATGATGTGTGGCATCTTGGACCGTTACGCATTAATGCTTGGTCCTATGTTGATCATCATAGCGATAACGAGAGAATATCGCTACACTTACAGGGACTTTCTGTGATATAATTAGACACCATGTATCGGTTCATGCATGGACCACATATCTGTCTGAATAGTCACAAATCATCGTATCCCTTAGTAATTGTAATATTGTTCCTAAATGAGTAGCCCTGAAAACCGCCTTTAAAACTACTGAAGCAAACAAATAGGTTTATGTGTCTCATACGTCAGTAAAACTACCTTTATAACTGAAATAGTGAAACCTTATCAGTTAACTATACAATTACTAGAATAGCCTTAAGAGTCACTCTTATAAAATACAATACGCCTCATAAGTTGCGTACAACAAATCCTTTTCGCATATGATAAATTACTGAACATTTATTAGCAGTTCAGATCTCTTTCATGATATCTTAGCGTAATATATCATGCATAGATGAAGTCGGAACCCGTATGTTCTGCAGTGAATATATTACCCGTGAAATTTTATTAAACAGTTTTATCCTCATGGTTCTATATAGATGATTTTTGTCTGTCATATCATTCTTTTCTACGTCCTAAATCCTTCCATACTTATTTTCTCTGCGTGTCTTTTAGATTCCTTTCTTCTTTAGGAGAACCTAGTACAGATCAACGGAGTTTAACAGAGCCAAAGATTAAAGATCTAAAACCAGAAAATGCTTTGAAGCTAACTGATTTAGATGAGTTGGATAGTGGTAGTGAAGGTGATGATGATGAAGATGAAGATGAAATGGATGATGAAAGTCGCTTCAAGAATGTAAACACTGATTTAACTAAGACAGAAGATGGTCCAGGTTCTAGTAAAGGAAAAAATCCCTTATTCGATGATCCAGATGACCGTAGTAAGTCGGGAAATAAAACCAGTAGTGGACTTTTGAAAGCCTCTGAACGCAATCGAATTGCGAAGAAAAAACAACGTGCAGCTGCTATTGTTACAAAAATGCGACGTGGTGTAAAAAGGCGTAAACGAAAGACTATCAATATGGATTCTTCAGATGAAGAAGATGATCCAGATGAAGAAGCACAAGACGATAGCGAGTTAGACGATCATGAAGGCGATGAGGTAAGACACATTTACTCGTGTTCAGTTCGACTACATTTTAATAGGCATTAGCTAAACAGACAAAGGGGATAGTGCTAGTCATCTTGGAGAATACTAAGACCATTACTGACCTTCAGAAAGAGTTAAAAATAAACCATTAAATCTCACTACTTTCATTCAAATTAATCGATGCATATGGATGCATCCCTTCAGCCTCTTAAGCATAGTAATAACAGAAAACAGTTTAATTTATGAATTGATTAGTAGCAAGGATCAAAAAAATGAAGAAGATAGATTCAGACTACAGAACCAAATTGTTGTCTGGCTTAAGCCTGGACTAGCGAAACTATTGCACGTCACTGTGATCTGACTAACGAAATCTACCGACCAACCTGAGTGGTTTCTTACCACCGAGAGTATATTTCACTGATTTATGAAACTGTATCATAGATCACACCCTTTTGCTTTTCGCTGAGGGGGCTCTCTCTTGTAAACCTTGTTGATATCACAGGTGTTCGAAATACCAAAGTGAACTATAGGATTTATAAATCGCTTGCAGTTTGGTCATCCAATTATCCTCCTATTACTGGTTTCAATCATTAATTTTTCCCATTTTCAAGAAGATACAGAACGCCTTCTTATGAAAACCACAAGGGAATAATTTTGACCAGCGTAGGGTTTGAGATTTGAGATTCTAAGATCATGAGATAACGAAATGAATTTCAAGAACACCGAACTTGGAAAAATTCTTGTTGGTTTTAAAGCTGGTTGTGGGTGAATAGACTAGATTTCCACTCTCTGCACCATCCGTTTAAACCCATGCACACTTACTGTACCCGACACTGGTTATATTTTTTGACCTGAAGACGGCACTCGACTGTGTCTATCGAGTGGTGTGTCTCAGAGAGACGGCTGTCACGTAAATGCATTTGGAAACCCATGAGTGTGTTTAATTCTGTAGTTGGGTAACAGGTGAGTTGGGTACGTCGAGTGGTGTCCGTTAAGGATGTCTACCCTCCCCATTCTTGTTTGTCTTGTCATAGGAGACCGCTTAGCTGATTCAGAGGGCCCAGACGATATGGGTGAAAATGTTAATAAGATGAAGAGTCTCCTTATACGTCTTGAATGACAATTTGAGGATGCTTTCGATACGTTTCTCACCAGACCATTGCAAATCGTTGCTCCAGGACTGGTTTGAGTTACCATCCTGTCTTCCAGAAGAAAGTGAATTAATGGGGTGCGTTGGTAGCTTAACTCACTTGGAAAGTCAGCCTAACCACAGTAGGTCAGTGACTGATAAAATCTCCACTTGGATATTAAAGGGTCAATTGGCGCTTGCTAACTCATGCGACCTATGACACTGGTGATAAATCTGATTACTTACCTAGTTTTCATCACCTTACACCATTCATGACGCCGTCATGATATCCGAATGTCTATTTAAGTTCAAGTGTACTCCACTACAGTTTGGTCTGTTTTCTAATTTACGGCTGTGAAATATGAATATCAAAGCTGGCGGATATGAAAAGTTCTTGAGTACCCGACCACCGTTATATATGTAGTTATTGGCTATGACTATGGAATATAGACGTTTATTGTCGAATCTTGGATGAAATATGTAATTCGTAATTGAGGATCGCACTACATATGTGTTAAATTACTGTTGACCTCCCCCCCCGCTGAAACAGGATTATGTTGGTAGAACGGTAATCAAGGTAACACATATTCAGTCTATATACAGTCTCTACCTGTTGGCCTGAGCCCTGTTGAAAGGTATAGACTTGTATGCTGGGGGTCTCCACAAGGCAACTGAAGACTCGATACGATTCCGTTCAAAACAGATGATTCAAGTCTCAGCGGTAATAACACTCACTGGAGTGTGCAGGTACATCCAGTTGACGAGTCCTAAATAGGACGAAACGCGCATCCTGAATTCTTCTGCTAACCACAAACAAGTAAATTACTATAACAATGTAAATTGATTTTGTATTTTTCATTTGCTTTTTCATTCTGAAAAGTTCACTTTTACACTCTACCTTTTTACAACAACAACAAAACTTTTCCAGGTAGATTATATGACTAATTCATCATCAGATGAAGAAAAGTTGTCCAGTGAAGAACGCGAGAAAATATACGAAGAAACTGGAGTTGATGAAGAAGTTGCATTGAAAGCCTTACTTACTGATATCAGTATGTGTGTAAATGTTTAACTATCTGGAATATTTTTTTTTTACTTCAGTTGGTTATCTCTATTCATTAGATTGTATTTAGGTTCAGAAGGTGATAAGTAATGCTCATTGAATTAGCAAACTTATGTCAGTCTTGTAGAGACCGTTTAGTTCAGTCAAATGAGCATGTCATATTGAAGTCTGTTTACATGTATTCAATGTTCAGTGGTGCTTTAGACGTTCTTTTACATCATCATTATCAACATAGGACCAGGCATTACTGCGTAACGGTCCGAGTTGCCACACCTCAATCAGCACATCAAGTAAAAAGGTAGTGAGGTGAAGGATGAAGATAAGTGAATGCAGTCCAAAGAAATATAAAGTACGAGAAGAAAGGAAAGAGGAGTGACAAAATAGTGAGATTCGGTATAGCGTTGTTAAGATGAGGATAATGTGTGTATACATCTGCACCAATGACTTCGGTTCTGAGCCATATCACCTAGAGTCAGTCTCCAACCACTGGTTCCTCTTGTCCCGTGGACCCCAACCACCTAGTCTGCATCATCCTACATGGCTTAAACCAACAGTCAGAGACTTCATACATTGGTGCGATGTTTTAGTCTGGCCACCTCGGGCGTTTTTCCAGCCTGGACCCACCTCAGCCAACATTGTGTGACGAGGCAATCGGTGACTAGGCATATGTAGTACGTGTGCCAACCATCTCAGTCGATGAAGGTTCACAACCTCGTCTACTGACTTACCTCTTCTCCCCAAAACTCTACACCTGAGTTCTGCATTACTCACGTGGTGACACCACGGAATACGTCCTATATTACGAAGGCAACGGTGATCAAACACCTGAAGCCTTTTTGTATCCTCCACTTTCAATGGCCATGTTTCACAGCCATACAGTAGAACAGCGGACTGCTGTGGAGTACACGCGACCCTTAATAGACAAACGAATATCACGGCGGCGCCATAGGTGGCGCAAATTGGCAGAAGCCAATCGAGCCTTTTGTATCCGTGCAGAAATCTCATCGGCAACTAACCCACCGGGGTTGATCCTACTTCCCAGGTAAGTGAAGTGGTCAACACACTCAACCACTTCACTCTCTATTGTTAACCGCGGTGGGGCACCGCTGAAGACCAGTCCTGGAGCAAAAATTTGCATTTGGGTGGTGAAAATCGCATCCGAAACATTCTCAAATTCCCACTGAAAGTGTTCAGAAGACTCTGCATCTTGTCAGCGTCTTCACCTAACAGGACTATGTCATCTGCATATTCTAGATCTAAAGAAAATTCACCTGTGATTGGGTCAACGTCTGTGTAATAAGGTGAGGAGAGGGAGACCTCCATAAGAATATGTATGATAAAATTAAATAAGAATGGGGATAGTGGGCATCCTTGACGGACACCACTTGATGAGTTCTTTTACATGGATGAGCAGTATAAAATGAAGTTTATTATAGCGCCTATCACAATCTATAAATGAGAGGATGCTTAAGTTCTGATAAGTTAGAAGTTATATAAGTGTGATATTAACCAATGAATTACACTTTAAGAGTCTGTAAGTATCCGAACGTCTCCCCGGGTACTGTACCATTGTGTTCTCTGAGCTGGGTTGTTTAATCGTGAAGCTTTCATTGTCTTGCTAGATGATATTATCAGCACTTACTTCAGTATGAAGTGAGCTGTAAATATCTCACCGTGAGTAATTTAGTAGCTTGCTCTGACAATGTAGTCTGTGATTGGTTGTTTCCTTTGATTTTTGTGTCATTGATGACACAGGTATTCTACCATCGTGACCAATATCCGAATTAACTCGATCGTTGAAATAGCAATAAAAAAACTCGTTTTTTTTTTACACTCATTCAAGAAACTAGTATATTCAATAGTAAATGGAGTAAATTATTTGCGATTTAATAAAAAAAATAGCTGTAACTGAGGTATAGATACACTTCAAAATATTCTTTGAAAAATGTCAGTTGTTAGCGTTTCATAATGAATCAGAGAGGATTAATATAAGTCAATTGTAATTTTACACTATCTCGTCATTGTTGTATCTCTGTTCGCTCGACTTCCAGTACACACTAGATACAGTCTTGTTAAAATGATTATGATGACAAATTGTAGGCGACATATATATAGACTGATGTCATCAAGGAGTGATGTGCAACCAGAACACTAGGTAGCTTTATCACCGTAGTGTGGAACCTGTCAGCAGTGCGTGCACGCTTCCCTCATATAGGGCAGAATCCAGGGTTACCGGATACCGTGGTGAGATCGCCACCACTCAGTCATTGGACTGGAATCGGTGAATATTTGTCCTGATAATCTGATTTTGTTGACCCTCATAGGTTACGGCTTTCAACTAGAACTCCGACAAGTACTCAGAAGTACACATTTAAATGAAACAATCGTTTCGTCCTCCGAGGTTTTCACTAGTTTCTTGATTGATATCAATTCCTAATGAAGATATCGGAAGGTACTTATCAGGAAATATGAAGTAATTTTCATAGTTAGTACTAACTAGAACTTTTACTCTAGAATTATGTGTCCATCTGGTAAAGTACATGTCACTTTGTGAATATCCTTGTGTTTGTACACGCTGCCTGCAATCACCAAATCGTTGAATGCGCAGAAATCTGCAAACAGTTCTCCATTCTCATTCATTTCACCGATTGCTTCTCGACCCATGATGAGTTCTCTTCCTGTGTTGTCCGCTCCCAGCTTGGCATCCATGTCGGCCAAAAGAATTTCGATGTCACCAACTGAAGTGGGGCCTTATCCAGTACTGATTGGAGTTGTTTGTAGAATTCCTCCTTCTTCTCTTCCTGATCTGCATTATTTGTAGGTGCGTAGTGTAGCATTGCGTGATCGTGACTTTCCTCCCTTTTGATTTGAATCTTGCTGTCATGATCGTGATCCTGCATGATGAGGAGATTGGTTCCCACTGCATGAGAGAGAGTCTTTGGTGCTGTTTGGTACATGATGATAGCCATTTGAAAACTCAGTGTGCTGTTCTCGTGGTTGTCGTGTTGAGTGGGTGAGAATATCGGAGTGTGTTATTGACTGGTGTTCAGTTGACAGTTTGTAGAGTCCACTTCGATTTGATCTGCTTTTGCAGATTCCTAGTCTTGCACTTCTCTGCGATATCTTGTCATGTCTTTTGCAATGTGGGGTGCCTTGCTATGTTCAAAGGTGGTGCGGACATTCCATGTCGCTGTGTTTACTTTCGGTTTCATTGATAGAAGAGAAGAGAAGAGAAGAGAAGAGACATCGGTCCGGCTGATTGGCTTCCTGAAGGCTTTCAGCAACCGGTGTGATTGTGTCTCCCGGATGGCAGGGAGGAATAAGTTTGTTTTTGTTTTTAATATTTTTATTGTGCTTTGAAGTTTCTTTATTGATTGTATTGATTGGTTTTTTTGGGTAGGGTTGTGTCTAGCCCTGTGCCCAATCTTGTATGTTTATCCGTGTTTAGAACCGGCTAGTTACTAGTGAACTAGTTAACCAGGCGAGGTTATGCAGAAAGAAAAAGAACCGTAATTATAGTTTCTCCTAATTCATTGTCTGAAGCCCAAACAGATATACTATTAACACGGTGCACTGAATTCAGGCAAATCAAGTACATATTTCCAGGTATAGGTATGGAGTGTCTGCATTATTTTATCCAGAGAGATTATTATTATTATTTGTCCCTTGAGTTCCTAGTGGAACATAGAGCTTCAGTAGCACGTCTCCAGTACACTATGTTCTCTGCAATCTTTTCAACCTGGCGCCACTACTACCCAAAAGCTCTCATTTTTTCTTCATATGATCTCCTCTATGTCACCCTCACCTCGGACGCCCAACTCATCGTTTTCCGTCTGGATTCCACTCGATGATCTGGTCTGGCGTGTGATATCTTCGAATAGTCTTCCATTCAAGTTGTCACACTTCACAAGAGCAGGTGGATGATAGAATAAGAGTGATATCAGAGTGGATAAAATTGTGTGAGAGAATAATGATTTTAAAGATAAAGGTTTGTGAAAATATTCAGGCTTAAGAAGATGTCAAGCAGTGAATACATTTGCTTCATTGTGACCGATTTTTAGCTATTTCTTCGAGACCCTAACCACTCAGTCTACATCTTATACAACTCAAGCTAATAGTTAGAGACTTCATCGACTGATACTACCTTTTAGCCTTTCCTTTTAATTACTTTTCTTGTCATAAGTCGTCATAATATTATCTTGTCTAGTCATAATATCTACTAAATACACTCAGATGTAGTATGCATAAGCTTATAGTATGTTTGGGTGAAATGTTTGTGAATCCCTTCACTTTATCATCTAGTGAAAGTTATCCCAATGTATCTTTGCGTAAACAGTCATTTGTCTTCGAGTTTTTTTATTTACTTACATAGGTAGTGAAGAAGGAGAAGAAGAGAGAAAATCTGAAGACGATATTCAAGAAGTAGACGAGAATCTAGCTGATGATGAGATCTATTCAAAACGAAATAGTGAAACAGATGATATGAGAAAATCTCAGGGAAATGAATTTCGGAAAGGAATTAAATCAGTATCATCATCATCATCATCATCGAAATTTGTTCGTAAATCAGATGATAATAATAATGATGATGATGATGATGATAGTTTAGAGTCTAGTACACAATCACATCAAAGTCATAAAAAACGACGAAATAATAATTCTGAAAATGATAGTGGATCATCGTCTAGTTCAAGTTCTTCATCAGCAGATGATGATTCATCTACTTATTCTTCATCTGATTCTGATCTAGACAATCGACTTAAATCAATACAAAAAAATGTTAAAAAAGCTGAAGTGATACAGAAATTATCAGATACAATTAATGCAACTTCTGTTTCATCAACATTATCTGGAATTGTTTCATCTGATAATCAGATAATAACCAATGATGAAAATACTTCGAACCTAAAACGTTTACCCAATGATATGTTTTCATCTACTACTACTACTACTACTATCGATACATCAACAGATGCTCCTGCTGCAAAAAAATTACGTATTGATATATCGTCCAGTAGTAATAATTCATCTATAAATTCAATTGATAATGAATTAGTCAGTACAGTAAGAAAGTATTTAATGCGAAAGCCTATAACTGTAAGAGAATTATTAAAAAAAATTCGTTTACGTAAATTGGTTAGTAAAAATGAAGATGCACAAACTGTCTTAGCTAATGTACTACGTCAACTTCGACCAATAAAACAAACAATTAATGGACAGCATGCTTTATCTTTAAAACATTAATTAACCAATAGAATTTCAAGTATTATACTTTGTTTTGTTATATATATATAGATATAGAAAGATCATATGATAGACCATTTTTCCTATTATTCATGTCTTCTACTTACTCTTTTCAAATGAAAGAGTAGCATATATGTGTATATTCTCCTTCAATGTACATATAATATGTGAATTCGTGTGTATTCAATGTGTAAATCCTTGAAAATTTTGGAAAGTTTTTTTTTTTCATTAATTATTCTTTAATAAAGACTATTTTGGAGCAATTGTTATTGTTTTTTTTTATCTTTTCTAATTAATTGTGCTTGAAATGTTTATTAGTTGATTTAGAAATAGTATTCATCATGAACTGACATCAGTTGGGGGAACCATTAACAGTCTGGGAGCATTGAACAGCTGTTTCGTCCTAGTATGGGACTCCTCAGCAGTTATGCACCCACGATCCATGATGAATACTACTTCTAAATTAAAAATCCTCATTCATCTCAAAAATATATTAGTTGATTGTTTGATTCTGTTGTATGTTTGTTGTACAATGTAAATAGCTGTATTAACTAATCTGTAATAGGTTTTAATGTGAACTAACTGGTTTCTGTGTGTGTGTGTGTAGCTCTACAGTTAAATTCTGCTTCCTTCCCTCCTTCTTCATCAAGCAATACTTCTAATTTCCTGTTTATTATTGTTGTTTTTTTATATTGAACTGAATTCATCTGCTTCCATTGGTATTTAAACTCGTCTGATGAATCCCTTGATATTGCTTCAATTTTCATTCGTATACGCACTTGTTTAGTGATGGCTGACAGGGGAATTGTGTTACTTCCTATTTTAGACTCTTCTTATAGGATATATCTGCTGCTTCTTAATAACTTGAACACAACACCCACCCATCATTTAAAACAATAATTTTAACAAGAACACAACTCAGGTAGGTACATTGAACGAATCAGCCCTGAATAAAATTAAGCGTAAATTCTCGATTTGAATGTTAAATAACATGAAGTAGACATGCCTGTTTTACTTCGTGTCATTTGTAATCTCTGAATTTATCCAACTATGAATCCATTGAAAAGTAAACTGATAGCAGTTAGTCAACTGTAAGTATAAGGATTTGTAATGAGAAAATCAAATACTTTTGATAACCACATAGGGGTTCACAAAACAAACTATGATCTACTTCAGCTGTATGAATATCAATCATACTACTTGAATGCCTCAGCTATCATATCATTTGAATATCTTAGATAGCCGTAGTTCGGTAGACTAGTATTTATACTAGGTGATGATTCAAGGTGAAATGAGAATTTGTACCATAGCCGGATTCGAGCCAGCGATCACTGGTTTTCGGCCCAACACTCTACTAACTGAGCTACTAAGACGGTAGAGCATCGGGACGGAAACCAGTGGTCACTGGTTCGAATCCGGCTACGGTTCAAATTTTCATTTCACCGTCAATCACTCACCCAGGATAAATACTAGTCTGCCAAACTATGGCTATTTCAGATAGTCAAAATAATAACAAATATACATGTAAATTAAGCTAAAACGTAATGAAAAAGCTGCAGTGTAGTGTTATAGATATGCGATTATAATGGCGATGAATCGTTTCGCTAGATGTATTAAATTTCTGAAACTACATAAAAGTTCACGTATAAAGTCTGTTAATCTCTAATCTGGCTTGGCTCTCAGTCAGACTAAAACATGGGATCAATGTATGAAGTGTTTGACTGCTGGTTTTAGCTATGTGGGGTGATGCAGACTAACTGGTTGGGGTCCGCGGGAAAAGAAGAACCAGTGGTTGGAGGACTGAGTTTAGTTGGTATGGCTGAGAACCGATGTCAGTGGCTCAGATGTATACACATATTATCCTCATCTTAACGACGCTTTACCGAATTTCACCATTTTCTCATTCTTCCTTTCTCTCTTTTAATACTTTGTATTTCTTTTGTCCTTCTTCCACTTGATTGCCTTTCTACTTGATGTACTGATATAAGCTGTGCAACTTGGATCGTTGCTCACTTAGTAATGCCTGGTCATATGTTGATTTAGATGGATGTTAGTACACTAGATGACTTTTTTCTTCGGTTATTGATCCTAACGGAGTTTGTCGTTTTAAATTTTTATGCTGCCTTAATCTAACCAATCAGTGTTTTCAACCTCCTGGCCATTGCACGTGTCTAATTCACTATCTTGCCTTCGTTTCATTTTGCTATCTAACATCATCAATTCTCTTTATTCATCGTTTTACTCGAAATTAAGTTAAATTCCATCTACCACTGAGTTGATATGAAGTAACTATGGATTAGTGTAGATTGCAATACAATAAATGTATCTTCACACATCACCATACTTTTGAGATAATGAAATCCTACTATCAATCAACTCAAGGAAATGGAAAGCAGTAAAACTTTAAAAAAAAACAAATTCACGAATTTATGTGATTACCTTGTTATGATTATGAGGGATAAATTGCACTTGAAACTTAATAAATAATACTGTGTCAGTGTATGCTGTAACAGAAACTAATCTGATATGGAACTATACTTCACTACAGTGCCGAAATCTTTCGCTTACATTTCTGGTATCATTTTAACTTATTAAAAAACAGCTAACAGCTCATTTGTGTATATTCGTTGGAAGACAACAGTTAAAAGATTGGACAAAACACTTTATTCTTCGGTTGGACTAAATAACCTTGAGATTATTGATCTGGTATCATGTCGACTGGGCCAAATTGCTCCATTATATATCCCCACTTGTATAAGTTTCCACTTCACCAACAGTTTACTAAACCATTACTATTTATTGATATGCCTATAATTCTCCATTGTTTCACTGGGTCGAATTGTTCGACTCATTTTGGCATATGGGTTAGTATGTGGATGCCTTGATTATTGCCTGAATATTAATTATGATAATTTACTTGGCAGTGTCTAGCAGAGGAATCCAGGACGCACGTTTATTAAACTGCTAAGAAATATCTAATATTTGGTTACAGAGTAGGATTTGGGTTCACTATGGTAGTGTATAATTATTTGTTAGTTCGGTTTTTAGACACATCATACAGTGAGACTGTATCACTTAGTGGAAAACCTTTGCAACACACTGTATTGTCCATAGTCAAATTGAGACATGTTGTGAAGCGAATGACGAGAAAAATCAACGCAGAACGTCGAATTTAAATGCATCGGTTCAAGTTACAGTAGTATACAGAGAACAGGTGGATAGAAAAAGACTGACATCAAAGTAGACAAAATTGTGTGAGAGAACAAACCATTTGAAAATGTTAGTGCAAATATTCAGGTTTTATGTGTTGAGGGGTGGATAGATCTGCACCATCGTGATTGTTTTTCAGTCATGTTACCAAGACATCTCAACGGCTGATCCCTAATCGTCTTGGGGACCTCAACTAGGCAGTCTACCTCTCACCAGTTGGCTCGAACCAACAGTCAGGAACTTCATGGATTGGTACCACGTGTTTTTATGCCCGACCTGAACCCTCTACCAATCTAACTTGCCTTCCCCTTGCATGGCATGTGAAGGTAAGCGGTGGCTCGACATGCGCGGTACATATCCAAGCCATCTCTGCCAGTAATACTGTTTTACTGTATGCACTACATTTAATTGACTTAATAATGGGGAATCATATACGTAACTTTAACCATAAGAAGGTTTCAGACCAAACAGGTATCCTTTTATTTTATTGCACTTGATTGTATTCATCTGTAACGACTATGATTGTTATCTTGGATCATTTTTCGCGTCTATTTCGACATAGGTGTTTATTTACTTCATATTTTACATCCTACTTCTAATTAATAAGTAGTATGATTTTTTTTCTGTTTGCTCAAAATGTTTATCTCGGTGGAAATGATGCTAAAATATCTATATCGATTTGAAAACGAAACACTTTTCTATATTATAATGGTTATTCAGTGCGCTTTTCAGATTTGATGATAAATTGGTTAATTGTCTCCGTCAGTGGGATACTTGGACTTGGAATAATATCTATAACTTCATCAGTGTAAGTTCGACAACTTGCATGAGAACAATTCTATGCTAAACTATACACGTCACACATTGAAAGTTATGAATGAAATTGTCTTGTCTTTATCTTAATAGCATTAATGTACACATGCTTTGTAGTGTTTTCTCTTTTTTGTTCTAAGCTTGATTAATCAAATTATATTCGATTTCATATCTCATACATATATATGGTCAAGCTTTTGTTTTCTTTGGCCAAATTAATCCAGTATCCAATGATGATTACTTTTTATTCTTAAGTCTGTCCATTTTTCAACACTATCTGGTTTAATATTTTCTCCAGTCGATCACATCCGTACCTGATTTGTTTCATTTCACCATTATAGGCTATACGCTGTAATAGCTTGTAGTGTGTTATTATCAAGTCACTGGATAGTCTTTAAGTCGTGGGTGCTGGAGAAGTTTATGTGTTACGTTATGCATTATAGTCACCGAAATTGGCAGCTTAACCTTAGCCATGTAATACCGAAATACTGGTTTACTGCAGATGACAATGAGTTATGCTGGTAGGACTCTAAGGGTGGAGTCGTAATTTTGGCTGGACTGAGTGTAACAACATTAAGGTGTTTCTTTTGGATAACCAGCTTTCCATATTGATGCCACCTTTCTTTTATGAAGGTGGGGTTTAAAAAGGTCAGTCCCAGAATAACACTGTGTTCTGCGGTCTTCTGCTGACCTTGGTATGAGTTTCCCAGTTGAATTTAAACACTCAAAGTTCGATCTCAAACTTCCAAGAAGGCCACGTTTTTACAGGTTTCAAGCGAATTTCCCGTGAACTCTTCTTCTTTCGCACAAGCTGCAGAAGCAACCTTGGACACGTTTCCAGCAGCATACTGAACCCAAGTTGACACATCCTACCTTCCTTACCCGTGCTTTCACTTCCTACTAATAAAATCGAACTTCTTACAGCTTCAAACAGACAAAACAACATAGAACCTCGCACACAAGTAGATCGACTCAAGTTACCACACTTCACAGTAGTATACAAAAAATGTGAATAAAAAAGACTGATATCAAAGTAGACACAGTTATATGAGAGAATAAGAATTTTGAAGATGGTTAGTGCAAATATTCAAGCTTTAGAAGTTGTCAAAGAGTTGATACATCTACGCCACTGGGACCGACTTTCAGCCATGTCACCAAAAGTCCTCAATGACTACTTATTCCTTTCGTTTCGGAGAACCAAACCAGACATTCAGACACAACTGAGACCAACAGTGAGGAACTTCATGGATTGGTGTGAAGTCTTTATTTGGCCACCCTGAACCCCCTTCCAACCTAATTGAAGTTCCTCGTAACATGCTACGTCGAGGTAGACGGTGGGTGGGCATGCGCAATACATGTGGAATGCATCTCAGTCTAGTGAGGTTGACAAGCCCACGAACCGACTTGCCTATCGTGTAATCTGAAGATATCTGACACTGATTCTATCGAAGGTGAGTAATGCTGTGAAGATATATCTGTGATGACAACTTTGTAACTGCTTTATGTTTTCTCCTTTTAACACCTTTGTTGCATAACTCAATAATAGAATAGATGGGACGGACTACAGTGCAGTGTACTCATCCTTGTGATAGGTAGTCTGATATCTCAGTCGACCCTACAGATGACGCTAGTTGTTAAATGCCAAATAGGCTTTCTGTATCCGAGCTTGTGCAACTCCTGAAGTAAATGAAGTGGTCGACGCATTCCACCACTTCCTTGGAGCTTCACCAGCTGCTCACCCCAGGGATTATTTCTAACACTTGAAACCAACAAAACACTATTCCTCATCCTCCTATGTAGTGTAGTAACTTCATCCAATGCGCTTCTGTGCAAACTTCTTAATTCTCTCTGTCTCCGATATCTTTTTTAGCTTAGTGATTGACTAGCAAAGTCTTTACTGACTATACATCGCGTATATTAATACATTCAGGTTAGTCTACATGAGATTAGATTTTGTCTCTCACTAAAGACAACACCGGTTTTCATATCACTAACAGTTGAAACTATTTCTCCTTCAGAGGCTATTAAGTAGTCTTCATTCTTTTGTAAATAATTCACTCTTTCAATATTACTGAAATCCCTATTATTATTATTATTATTATTTTGTCTTGCGTATATTTCGTTCCTACTAACTTCTCTTTTTCTATTGAAATCCATGATCGTTAGCATAATAAACAGTTTGAATATTTTCTACATTTCAGGATCATGTCTCTGTTCCGTAATATAGCCTGGTTTTCTAAAGGAATGCGTGAATACACCAAGTAAGTGATCATATTCTCATGAAATGGCATGTATAATTTGAAACAGTTAGTCCCTTTTATGAATTTCGATAGTGTAATTAGAAGACGACGTTTATCTGAACAAACTATGTGATATAGTTGCGCAATACATTTTGTACGATCTGATCACACATTTACTTGTCAAGTCAATATATATTAAACCGAAGAGTGGGGGAACAAATACCAACAATTAACACTATTATTATTATTATTATTATTATTATTATTATTATTATTATTATTATTATTATTTGTCCCTTGGGTTCCTAGTGGAGCATAGAGTTTCAGTGGCATGTCCCCATTTCACTCTGTTCCTACAGTCTTTTCAACCTGGCTCCACAACTGACAACCAGCTTTCATTTCTTCGTCACACAATATCCATGTCACTCACGCCTCGGACGCCCAACTCACCGTTTCCCCTTTGGGTTCCACTTGAAGGCCTCGCCTGACGTGTGATGTCCCTAAACCGTCTTCTCAATGTTTGTCCAGTCAAATCCATCTTCACTTTCTTATGCATATTTGTTGCCCGATGGGTTCTTGGTTGGTTCGTCACCAGTTATAATGAGTTCCTTGTTGCTGATTCTTTCTGGCCATCTGATTCTTCAGTATCGAGTGGGCGTAGGCGGCAGCTGTTAATGATGTATGTCTGCAGTTGTTTGTTGGAAATGCTTTTCGTGACACGCCAAGTCTCTCAACCATCACACAGAAACACTGACTTACTTGACTGACATTAGTGTTTAAAATCTGGATGTTGTTCACGCTTTATGCTGAGTGTATTGCAGTGCAGTGCAGTGCAGTAGATCTCCACACTGATTTCAGATTAATGAAGGAAGGGCTGTCTTGGTGTCTTTCCGATCCTGTCTTTGATGTCCTCACTTGTGTCGCCGCCGCCGCCGTCGCCACCTGTAGTTGAAACGATGCTGCCTGGATATGTGAAGGAGGCTACTTCCTTTAGGTTTCTTTCGTTGATGTTGATTGATGCTTGTTGTTGTTGGTTGGGTGGGTGGGTATCTTCATCACCTCTGTCTTCTCTACGTTCACTTGAAGTCCCGTCTTCACTGCATAGCATCGCCTCTTCTGTCAACTTGTTATTTTTTCTTGTAGATGTTCGAGTTTGTGTGAAGAGACATTAGACATGAATCATCCTTGGTGAAATCCAGATCTTCTAGGGTGTTATCTTCGGTCCAGCCAACGTATGCCCCTCTTCTCGCTCTTCACAGTTGTCTGTTGCATGGTCCGGTCCACCAGGATGACGAAGATTATCGATGATTGTAGGCAACCTTGTCTTACTTCTGTCTTCCCTTCAAAGTCATCACAGTTTTCCATTGTGAATCACTTGTCATGTAGCATCACCATATAGCACATAGCTGTTGAATGCGGTTGATAAAGGATTGTGGCACTAGAACCGTAACCGTAGTGTTGAAACAGTTTCCAAATTACTTTCGGTCGATGCAATCGAAGGCCTTTTCAAAGTGGATGAATTTGAGGTTGATTTGAGTTGACCGCCATTCTATGCTGTGTTGTATGATGATGCGTTGAGTAGCGTTGTAATTTGATCTGCACATGATTTGTTTTATCTGAAGCCAGCCAGCCAGACAGTCAGCCAGCCTGTTCCTGTAGTAATTTTGAATGCACAGCACCTTTTAATCTCTGCAGTCTGATGCTTGTTGTGGACAGAAGTGGAATTTCGCTCGAGTTCTTGCAGAGACTTAGGTTGCCCTTCTTCGCTTGTTTGATAGTTTGACAAGTTAGCCCTTGTTCCAATCATTGGGCAGGTACCTTTCCTTCCTTCCTTCCTTCGAAACGTTCTGCAATCGTGGTGTAATGTGGTGTGGTGTGAGGATGTCCTCTGTTGTTTCTGCGTCGGTTTTCAGTGTTTCTGGCGGAATTCCATCTGGTGGTACTGCTTTCCGGCTTTCAGCAAGTATATGGCGTTCATGACTTCACATGTGGCTTTGTCGGAGGGCTTGTGTTTACTGGTAATTGTGTGTCTGGTCTGCTGGTGATATTTCTGGATGAGTTGGAGATGGTTGTGGTGTTGGTGTTGGTGGTGGTTGATTTAAGAGTTTCCTGAAGTGGTCAGTCTATGGTTTCCTTTGTTTCTCCTCTTTGGTAACGAAGGTTTCTTCACTATCTTTGGTTAGTTTCATCTGCGTTGATCTCTTCCCTGTGAGATAGCAACCAGGTTATTTGATATAATGTTGTCAGGTCTCTGTCTGTGCTACCTGCAGCGTGTTCTGTTTCACTTGGAAGTGTATGGTAGAAGTGTGTTTTGTCTTTGAGAGCACTCTTCTTCACTTCATTGTGGAGTGTAGTGTTTTCTAGGTTGTGTCCAGTTATTCTTTTCATTGTTCATCGCTGTACTTCACTGGTTTATCTTTTGCTTCACCATCAGCATCTTCCTTTCCGTGTTTTATAGGCTTCTATGTGTGCGTGGCGATCTGTTGCTTGTCTTGGCTCTTTTTCTTCCTTCCTAACACGGTTATGTAGGTTTCCTTCCACATCTCTTTCAAAGAGTTTCAGTGTTCTTCCACTCAGGTTCTTTCATGGATGATGTTCAATTTCTCCGTTGGATGCTGTTGGGGACATCATGATAGTCACTCCATGAGTGTGCTCATGGTGGTCGTGTCGTCTGGGTGACAATTTCGGATTATGTTATTGACTCCTCTTCAGTTGACAGTTTGGGGAGTCCACTTCCATTCCATCTACTTCCGCAGATTCCTAGCCTTTCACTTCTATGCCATACCTCCTCATTTCTTTTGCACTCTCATCAGCCTTGGTAGGTTCAAACGTAGTTTGGACATTCCATGTCCCTATGTTTACTTTCGCTTTCATTGATAGAAGAGAAGAGACATCGGCCAATTGGCTTCCCGAAGGCTGTCACCAAACAGCGTCATTCCGTCTGCCCGATTCCAGCGAGGAGGATTTTTGTTTTTTTAAAAATATTTTCTTTGTCCTTTGAAGTTTCTTTATCGATTGTATTGGTTTTCTGGGATAGGGTTGTGCTAGTCCTGTGCCCAACCTTCCATGTTTATCCGTGTTTAGAACCGGCTAGTTACTAGTGAACTAGTTAACCAGGTGAGGTTAATTAACACAATAGGGGATTAAAATTAACAAAGATGAGAATAACCAGAAAGAACAGTGACCCAGTTGATATTAATCTTGATAAGAAAACAAAGTTTACCAAGGTGTAGTTTAAGGAGATACTGTTTTTGGTACACGTGAATGTGGTTTAAATTTGTGTATGTCTATGGCTTCTTCAAATCTCAGTTTTCGTCCCTAACTGACTGTTTTTGTATATAACTTTGAAAGCTGTTTGAACATTAATTTTGTGATGTTTGTATGATATCTTTAGCTATAGATGGACGTCTATCACCACCACCAGCGTTTATCACTATTTAACACTCCTTTTTTAACCCATGTATAATTACTTTTTTTTCCATTTCATATTCATCAAATAATGTGTATGTAATAAGATGTTGAATTTTGTTAGTTCTTCTGTTATAACATCTCCATGTGTTCCCATTAACCACTATTGGTAGTAAAAAGTGATTTTCGTCGTGGATTGACATCAGAAAGAGAGAACCATTGAAGGTCTGACTGCACTGCACAGATGTTTGGTACTTTTTTGGAACTTCTTGTCAAAGAAATGGAACCTAATACTGTGAAATTTTACGAGGAGCGTACTACTATTCAACCACTGACTTTCAATCCTACCATCCAATAATTCCTAATTCAGTCAGTTTGTTAATTTCATCTGTAGGTGAAGATTACGGACTAGGTCGAAACAGGTGCCCAGTTCTCCTAGGTTATCAATGGTTCCCTTATTGATATCAGTCTGTGATGAAACGATGGACTCAGTTATTAATCACTTCTCCCATATTTACAATTTCAACCTTAGCATATTAGTGTTATTCTAATCTACCTCTTGCATGGGTGCGGTGTTTGTTTGCTATCTTCTGCCCTCTGGTAGTTTTACCTTTTAGTAATTCATCTTCATTCAGCCTGGCTGTTAGCCATCTTGAAGTTCTATCTAAATGGAGAAAAGAATTGTAAAGATAGGATGATTACGTATCAGATTGCATTGTTCCTGTCCAACTAACTTCTTGTTTGAGGTGATATGATTTGACTAGTCTCTTGTGAAGATGGTGTATGATGTATCTCGCTTGTATACTTATGCTAGGAGTGTGAGTGAGTGAGTGAGTGAGTGAGTTGCAGAGTGAGTGAGTGAGTGAGTGAGTGAGTGAGTGAGTGAGTGAGTGAGTGAGTGAGTGAGTGAGTGAGTGAGTGAGTGAGTGAGTGAGTGAGTGAGTGAGTGTGATTGAGTAGCTTTTAAATGGTAGGTTTCAGATTGTCAGCTCTACAGTCGAACAATTTGATGACACATTCACTCGTCATATAAAGTTTTTTGTATGAAAAGTGGAAATACAATGAGGATTAAATAAATCTATCAAGGTAATCGAAGATATGTAAGGGTACTCAGCGAAGGACTTTGTGTTTTCACATTAACTTTGGTAATGAAATGAGGTAAATACTACCAAGGAAGGCTGAAGGTGAGAAAAAAATTGATTATGCATTTTTTTCATGGACTGTCTTGACAGTTAATCTGCTAACTACTGTTCTGTTGTTAATTATGAATCGTAGTCATTGATTTACAAAACTATCAACTCATTCATGACCACCAAATCAGATGATGATGATGCAACCCTGGGATAGAATATTCTAAAACACATTAACTTGATCATAAGATGTAGATGTTTCTCTCAGCATGAAACATTGAAAGGGCTGTTATAGAATAGTTAAGTACAACTCTATATGCTTCTTCGATTAAAAGTTGTCCACTCGAAAATCTTTCAGCATTTGTGCATATCATTTGATGAACTGAATTTATCTTATTATTTGTAGTCTCTTCATAAGTGTTAAGTAGTTCACATTGGGAACATCATAGTTCTTTAGTGTGTCACTCGTTGATAGTAAACTGCAGATATATGCCCTGATGAACAACTAACTATCCAGTAAAGCAGATTTGCGAAGATGCTGTTTTGCATGTATAACTTAATGTGTGGGGGAGATATATGGCTTATTGGTTTGTAAACCCGACTTTCAGGTAACGAATATCGGGCGCGAACTCTGCTCCACATACATACGTGTGGTTCACAGACTAGTACATAAAAATACACCTATTAGAGTACATTATTACTATGATTATTATTATTATTATTGAATTAATCTGTACAATAAATTCCTGTTTTCTTCATTCCACAAAATTAATACATTAAGATCAGGCTATGAATCAGCTGCCTCACGTTTTGATCCCGCTGAATTAACCAATATCCACTTAGATAGTTATCGTGTTTTGGTAACTGGTGCAAATTCAGGAATTGGTTTCATATGCTGTAAAGAATTGGCTAAACATGGAGCAGAAGTTCATATGGTTTGTCGTAATAAATCTAGAGCGGAAGAGGCAAGACGAAAAATTATCTCTGAAACTGGAGTCAATGAATCTGTTAAGTATTGCTTGTTTTTTCACCATATCAATATATCGTTAGTGTACATCGTATTATTTTAAAAATTAGTTATTAACTATTCAATAAAATTCCACTTGTGAGTAGGTTCAAAAGTGTATACTAGTTAAGATACATAAAGGTGATGAATTAGTTGCCTGAATGACTGACAAAATCAGGGTAGAACCTCCTACACATGTGGATCAGATCGAGTTGCCACTCTGCATATTAATGTACAAAGAAAATGTGAATCGAAAAAAAATGATATCAAAGTAAGACAGAGCTGTATGAGTGGTAAAGGTTACCGCTAATATTTAAAGATTAGGTGTTGAGGAGTGAATATACATCTGCACCACTAGGACCGACTTTCAGCCATGTCTCCAAAAGTCCTCAATGACTACTTATTCCTTTCGTTTCGGAGAACCAAACCAAACAGTCAGACACAACTGAGACCAACAGTGAGGAACTTCATGGATTGGTGTGAAGTCTTTATTTGGCCACCCTGAACCCCCTTCCAACCTAATTGAAGTTCCTCGTAACATGCTACGTCGAGGTAGACGATGGGTGGGCATGCGCAATACATGTGGAATGCATCTCAGTCTAGTGAGGTTGACAAGCCCACGAACCGACTTGCCTATCGTGTAATCTGAAGATATCTGACACTGATTCCATCGAAGGTGAGTAATGCTGTGAAGATATATCTGTGATGACAACTTTGTAACTGCTTTATGTTTTCTCCTTTTAACACCTTTGTTGCATAACTCAATAATAGAATAGATGGGACGGACTGCAGTGCAGTGTACTCATCTTTGTGATAGGTGGTCTGATATCTCTGTCGACGCCACAGATAACTCATGTTGGCTAGCAACCACTGATTTTCTTTCAGTTGATATAGTATTACGTCACCCAGGTTATCCTAATGTTATCCTACAGAAAGCACATAAACTTTTCGGATTAAAAACGACAACTGTTTAACACCATACCCAGAGGCATTAAAATAAGAGTAAAACTTGATCTCTGTGATAGATTGTAATTCCATTTTAGTCTGTTTATTAGAAATATTACACAGTGAAGGAACAGTATCATTTATTGGATAATGACGTTTCGCACACAATTTATTGTTCATATTCATATCACGAAACTCCACAACTTCGAGACAGTTTCTAAAGTATTAATTTTCTCTCCTTCTCTGTGATGACAAGGGTAGTAGAATTTTCCACTTATCTGGGATAGGTGCAGAATCATTCTTGTTACCGCATGTATTCGGTGTTGATTCGATTAACAAAGATTCGGTTATCAATCTCTCCCTCCACCCAACTAAGTCAGTTTTCAACACTGTCGCTCTATCCCCCACTCTACCATGTGGTTGTGTGTCATCGCATACAGAGCTATAGCCGAGTTTTCCTCTAGATTTCTTATCTTATTAGAATCTACCAATCTTGATTTAGGTGAGTTTTTTTGCTCTGTCATTGTAACCGCCCCGTTGGTCAACTGCTTTGACCTATGTACTTGACCTCTCAATCATTTCAAGGGATCTGGTAAACCAGATTATTTTGCTTAATTGCCTGGATAGGATCTTTTGACCTACAAAGTTTGTTTCTAAGTGAGTTTGTTGGTTTGAATGCCAGCCACTTTAACCCAGCCAACCTTATTGAGAATTTTTCGTAACGCTTCTCAGGTGCTTTCTTTGTATGGTAACACAGCAAAGACTTTAAATTGTCTCTCAATCCTGTCACCATTATTGCCATTGATGGTAGAATTATCATTCAAAACATGGCCATTGAAAGTGGAAGATATAAAAAGGCTTCACGTATTTGATCACCGTTGCCTTCGTAGTATAGGACGTATTCCGTGGTGTCACCACATGAGTAATGCAGAAGTTAGGTGTAGAGTTTTGGGGAGAAGAGGTAAGTCAGTCGACGAGGTTGTGAACCTTCATCGACTGAGATGGTTGGGACACGTACTACATATGCCTAGTCATCGATTGCCTCGTCACACAATGTTGGCCGAAATAGGTTCAGGCTGGAAAAAGGCCCGAGGTGGCCAGACTAAAACATGGCACCAATGTATGAAGTCTCTAACTGTTGGTTTAAGCCATGTAGGACGATGCAGACTAGGTGGTTGGGGTCCACGGGACAAGAGGAACCAGTGGTTGGAGACTGACTGTAGGTGATATGGCTCAGAACCGAAGTCTTTGGTGCAGATGTATACACATATTATCCTCATCTTAACAACGCTATACCGAATCTCACCATTTTGTCACCCCTCTTTCTTTTCTTTTCGTACTTTATATTTCTTTGGACTGCATTCACTTATCTTCATCCTTCGCCTCACTACCTTTTTACTTGATGTGCTGATATGAGGTGTGGCAACTCGGACCGTTACGCAGTAATGCCTGGTCCTATGTTGATAATCATTATTATTATTATTATTACCACTGAGAATATTTTTCTTCCTATTTCTTATGAGTTCAGATGGTTAATTATTGAAACGCAAGGTATCCTTGATGTGTCCAATTTCTTGTCGTAGATCTTTTGGCCTAACGAGCGTTTTTGCCCTATCACTTAGGCATTTAACTAAGCCTAGTTTAACTGAGATGGGGTGGGAGGTTTTGAAGTCTACGTCGGAATTAGACACACCAGGAATACCTTGTGTCTCAATAGTTACTTTACATTAGCATATTATGATGCAATAAGAATGGTACAAGAAAAGAAATAGCATGATCAAAAACAGTAGAATGTTGTAAGAAGCGAAGAAAAAGAAGGAGTGAGACAGACAGACAGATCAACAAACCAATGTAGTAGAATCTGGCATGCAAGTACAAGTGCATTAATTCATTTCTCTACACTTCATATCAGTCTATTGAAGAGCATAGATGTGATCGATGCAACCTTATTCAGATCTGAAATCTGCTTTGTTTTCTCGATTTTATTGTTCTCCATCGCTTGTTGGACACTGGATAACTATGAACCCTAGTATTGTGGTCATAATGTCATTAAAACTGATCTCTGTATGCTGGCCACAAGGTTTTTCTTCTTTACTATAAACTGGGACTGTTAGTGAAAAAAACCAGTCTAACGAGAATACCTCTGATTCTCATACGCTACGTAGTACCTCTGTTACTCTACTCAGTAGTTTCTTACTTTCATCCTTGAAAATCTCTGGTAGCAGATCATCATCAGGTCCTTCTGCTTAAGACTATCTCTGGTTTGAAACAGGATCGTCAGCTACTTTTCATTCAAGTTCGAGCTGAATGCTGGGTTAATAAAGCGCTTCTGTGGGCCAGTTAAATTGTGTTTCTAAGTATAGTAATTATTATTACTGCTTTACTTCAACCAATGTATCTGAAACAATATGGTACACTCAGGATGCAATATTTCAACAAATTCATTGCCAGTATACTATTTTTTCAGTGAAGTGAATAATGCAGTTGAATGAATGTTAATGATAGCAGTAATAAAAACAATAGTGTGGAATAACCGGCTGTTGTTAGAGCAGTATCTGGTCTGGAATGGGGGGAATGAATAGAATGACGAGCGTAAATTTGGTGGTTTTGGGAGAGTATATGATGTATATAGAAGAAGATACTTCTAGTCATAGCAGTCTATCCTTATAGGTTATCAACATCCTATCCTTTTCAGCGATGGTGTCACTAACCCATCATCTTCTTGCCAGTATCCTTATAATAAGCCTAAATCTATTGGTGTTTTCTAACTTTTGATTGTAGGTTACCAACTGTCTTCACCACTGTTTCTACAGTAGACTAAATATCAAGCCAAGTCCTGTTTGGTAGAGAGGTCTTACAGTGCTTAGATAAATGTTTTGTTATCTCCTCCCTTCTTGTTCTTATTTCACCATCAAGCATAGACAGACGTTACTTTCGCCTGTTTTCTGTGTCTAATGGGGCGCAGACCTACTTTTTGATAGTTTACTTAGGAAACCTACAACAATACGGAGCTATTAAATTCTGAAAAGTCAAGAAATCATAGTTGTGCACCAAAATTTTGCATTTTTGTTGGAACTCAACAGGAATTCGAAGTGAAATAAACGAAATGCACTGAAAAACTTTTTTCACATTCATGTAGTAGGCAATAAGCAACATCTATTGTGTGAGGGCTAAGTAGGTGGAGCGGGATTCAAACGCATGGCCCTCACTGACTGAACCATAGCTCCAGGATTCGAACCACTATCAAAGCAATGTTTTTTTTTCTAGATATTTCTGCAGTCTAATGATTTTCTGCTGTCCCACTTGTTTAATCGTTGCTTTATATTGTTTTTACTGTTTTTTTCCATGAAAAAAACATCTTATCAATTATTTCGTTTTCTTAGCGTGTAATCCTTCATTCCTTGGATTTATCTAAACCGAATGATGTATGCAGCTTTGGAAAGAATTTTGCTCATAAAGATGATTCTCGACTGGATATCTTGGTAATTTATTGGTATTTATACCAGTGTGTCGAATAATTTTTCGTATCGTTTTAAAGTGTAGAAAATTTTTTTTCTTTTTACAACGGATGGTCATTCCTATAATTCGTTTCAGATTAGGTTTGAATCCTTGCTGAGTTTTGCAGCGGTTTATAAACTTCAATGGATATCCATTTTCCATTGAAGTTCATAAACCGCTGCAAAACTCAGCAAGGATTCAAACCTAATCTGTACTCTGTTTCGAAGAAATGCCTTTACATCGCGTTACCATACAGAAGAGAATCTGACAGCATGATATCAAAACGAAGGCTAAGGTGTGCTGTTAGCAATACATACTATGCAGCTAAGCTTAGCATAGTTGAGAAGACCAAACACCTGCTGTAACCTTGACCTCAACGCTGCATAAACGATTGCGTCATATCCCACTGCGTTTATAAATTTACATGTGCGTGTGGACAAACATTCATAGGGAGGACTAATCGTGATATGCACTTGGAGGTAGGGGAACATGTTCCAAAATGGCTACGAAAGCAGCTGGTTTCACAAACATTGATGAGCGCAGATGGCAGACAACCATCATCATCCATTGCGAAACATATCATTGCTAAGAGTCACAGGATTGATATTAAAACAGCCTTTACAATTTTGTACAGAAACTGTCAGGGGCGTTTACTTAAGTTTGTTGAGCCGCTAGCCATAAATAAATGTAACCCCCTATTGTGTGTGCAAAAACAGTTTGTCCTTACATTAAGCCTACCTTGGTAATGCTTATTTTATCGTATTACCAAGATTGTCTTCAAGTCTTATCTTTTTTCCTCTCATTATCTTTCTTATTACTGGATTCCTTTATGTCATATTTGCCCTCCCCCCCCACACTTCCAGTTTTCATATGTAATACTGCCTTAACAAGTATATGTGTGATCAGATTGTTCGAAATGTATAGCGCTAATACATCACATGTTTTTCAGATAATCTACGTCTACATTATCCAAATTCATAAAAGGGACCAATTGTTTCGAATGTATAAATATTGATAAACTCATTGTTACAGCGTATAATGTGTATTTTTTTACTTGTGTAATCCTGGCATAGCGTATTAGAACAAGTAACAAAATCGAAAAATATATAATGGATTTTTCCTCAATGTTTCAATCTTTCTACGAAGATCCTTTTCTAACATTAAGTTTTCAATTAAATTTTGAGGGGGTTGTGGAGATTTGGAAATATTTATCGTGAGCTAACAGAAGTTGGAAATATGGAGCATTGGATTCTGACCCAGTGGCTCAATGGTAACGCGCTGGTCGCGGAACCTGAAGGTCGCCGATTCGATCCCTGCCGGGGGGGGGGTCGTGGGTGCGCACTGCTGAGGAGTCCCATACTACGACGAAACAGCTGTCCAGTGCTCCCGGGTTTCCTTTGTTCCTCCAACTGATGTCAGTCTTCGATGAATAACAACTTGAAATTAAGCTTTCAGGTTAATATTCAAGTTTTGGTAGGGAACATAAAAGATCTGATTCGTCATTTGGAACAACAGAAATGTGTTTATAATAAGGTAGACTGTAGTAAATAAGATACCCCACATACATTGGTGAGACATCACGTTAAGTACAAACACGTATAACCGAACATAGTCGAAGTTGCAAGAAACCACCACAAAATTTCTATGATCTGGAAAAAACTTGAAAAAAGCTCTGCCATCCCACTGCATACTTTATATTCAGGTCACAAAATATCATTGGAAAAGATAACAGTCCTACGAAAGGGTTTTTTTTCTCACAAGGAGCGGGACATTATAGAAGCTTTGCACATTCGTTCATACCCTTCTTCAGCCAACAGAATCGATAGGTTAGATATTCTACAAATATGAAGAGAAGGTAGAACACAATTTCATTTCAAATGATTTATTCCGAATTTATTCATGTTTGAACAGTTTCCGGTGTTCCTTCGCTGAATCGTCTTAATCACGTCAAAAAAATACTCGTTGTATTTCAACAATTTTTCTAATCGTGGTTGCTGGTTCGAATTCTACTGTGGTCCACATTTTCATTTCATCTTCAATCACTCACCCAGTATAATTATTAGTCTGCTAAACCACGGCTATCACAAATAGTCAAGATAATAATCCTATTGCATAGTACTTTATTGGTCTACTATTTTCATCAATTTTTACGCTCCTTTCGGAGTTATATACATTCCATGAGCTATTCTATATTACATAATCCATTTTGTTATCGTTCATACTTCACCTGTTATCATAAGTACCTTTATGGTTATCATCATTATTATTTATTATATATTGTTAGATGGTCAGATATTCATCTTTCCAAACTAGTAATCTATTTTTGCCCAACCTTAGTGACTCATAATTCCATTGTACTTTTCATAGTCGAACTAAAATTCCCCACCCTATTTTTATTCCACCGTATTTGTACAACTGAAAAAAGCCTCTCTCACTCACCTCCACTACATTGACCTTTGTTCTATGTCACGATGTAATTAGATGATCGTGAAGGCTACCTTTTGTACCAAAACTTGAATATTAACCTGAAAACTTAGTGTCAGATTCATACTCTTGAAGAAAAGGAATTCTCTTGTAAGATTGAAACGTTGAGGAATAATGCACTAAATATTTTTTGATGCTGGATGATGATTGAATGTGAAATTAAAATTTGAACTGCGGCCGGATTCGAACCTGTGACCATAGGGTTTCTGACCCGATGCTCTACCAACTGAGCTACGAGGTTATTTGTTCTAATATACTACGCCGGGATCACACGAGTAAAATTAAACCTTATACAATTAATCCTACTAACTGGGTGCCCAAATTGTTTTAACTATCCAGTCTGTTGTTGGTCAGGATACGTCCAAACATATTGTTAGATTGTTAGAGGCAATTGAAGCTGCGATAACAATAGTAAATCATTTCCTACACATCCCACATTACGAAATGATGGACATGCTTTGCTTGTATCATAAATCGTCATACAATGATCGTTGCTCATAGCTTAGTACATAAACATGTGTCGAGCTGAGTTGCACTATAACTACACTGATTTTATAAATAGGTTTTGTGAATTAATCTAAACACCTGTCAAGTTTTCTTGGCTGACATCTTGTTTGATATATACCATGACTAAGTTGTCGTAGTTGACTAGCATTCATAGTCACTTTACCTGATTTGACTATTTCATTGAAAACCTTATTCTTACACTTGACACTGTTTTTTCAGTGGTTGCACAAAATCCTAGCACTACTGTGAAAGTATAGGTTATCATATCGATGCAGCCTTCGCATATTACTGACTGATTTCCATGGTCTCTCGAACCTCATCCACGAAGTCGTCAGGCACCAGTACAAATGCATTCTTCATCCCGTGGTGTCATACACTGGTCACTTCTCCACGTCTTCCGACTAATCGCAGGGCTAGCAGATGATGAATGCAGCGCGAAACTCAGACAACATTTCTAAAATATATGCAAGCCAGCGAAGTAGGTGTTCCAAGATGACCTCATTTAATAAATGGCGATATCCATCACACTCCGACACGCTTTGCCACACATCTGAGTTCCTTACGTGGTATCTCCACCGGATACTAGCAACCTTACTGAAACAGCGGTGATCAAACAGAGTTATAGAACATCATCAGGTCGGAAGGCCTAAGTTTCATAGGTGTAGAAGAAGGGCTCTTACCGATGCGTCGTACCATCGACTTTTTACAGTCAACTTACCGTCATGACTATATCAAATGTGACTCAGGTTTTGTTATATGGTTTCGGTTAGAAGTATCATCCTTAACATCTTCAAAAGCTGCCCAGATACACGACGCTTTGACTGCTGACAACATTTCACTAACAAGGGTGGGTGATGACGATTTGAGCAATGCAATTGATTATTTGCAACCTAAGGGAAACCAGGCAGGTAAATGCAAACATATTTAGATACTTGGGTACATAAAAAGCGTTAGACACATGACAGCGTTATTCAACAAATCAGGTTAAAGTGTTCATCCGTTGTTGTAACAGTTTGAAACATAATATAAGGTCCGGGTAAATCACTTTCGATAACATAAGGAGAAAGTGTTCCACCACAATAACGGAATATAGTTCACGATCTACATGATTATATGTATATTGAGTATATGCCATGGAATAATGCTGTTTTACTTTTCTTTGTATAAATTCAATCTAGATAAACAATGCCGGTTGTATGGTCAATGAGTATAAAACTGATGAAAATGGTTTGGAAGCAAATTTCGCTACAAATACACTTGGTACCTATCTACTTACTGAATGCTTAATACCGGCACTGAAAAAGTCCTCAGATGTAAGAAGATAACATGTAGTCGTCCTATCTTTTGAGTAGTTCTCAATGACTGTGTTTGACTTATTATCAATAATCTTAACCTTTTTAGTAATTATTATATTATTAGTATTACTATCATCATTATTACTATTATTTGACCCTTGGATTCCTAGCGGAACATAGGGCTTCAGTAGCACGTCTCCATTCCACTCTGTTCTCTGCAATCTTTACAACTTGGCTCCACGACAGCCCACAAGCTCTCATTTCTTCCTCACACCATCTCCTGCATGTCACCCTCACCTCAAACGCCCAACTCACCGTTTCCTATCTGAGTCCCACTCGAGTGCCTGGCCTGGCGCGTGATGTCCCCGAATGGTCTTCTCAGTGTATGCCCAATCCGTCTCCACTTTCTTCTGCATATATGTTGGGCGATAGGTTCTTGGTTGGTTCATTGCCAGTCACGGTGATTTCCTTGTTGATTATTCTTTCTGACCATCTGAGCTTCAGTAGTGAGCGTAGGAAGTTGTTGATGAATATCTGTAGTCTGTTGGAAGTGCTTTTCGTGACTCGCCGCCAAGTTTTTCAGCCATATAGCAGCACTGACTTAACTGAATTGGTGTTGAAAATCCGGATCTTGTTGTTTATGCTGAGTGCATTAGATCTCCACACTGGTATCAGGTTAATGAACACCTGTCTTGCTTTTCTGATCCTGGCTTTGACACGTCATCGTCTGTTGAAACGATGCTGCGTTGCCTAAATAGGTGAAAGAGGCTACTTCCTTTAAGTTTCTACCGTTGATGGTGATTGGAGCATGCTGTTGTTGTTGGTTGCGTTGGTTAGGTATCTTCATCACCTTTGTCTTTTCTACGATCACTTGAAGTCCCATTTACTATGCCTCTTCTGTCAACTTGTTAGATTTTGCCTGTAGATCTTTGAGTTTGTGTGACATTAGACACAAGTGATCGGCAAAATCTGAATCTTCTATGATCTTTTTCACGGTCCAGCGTACGCCCATCTTCTCGCTCCCTTTTTAGTAATAATTATCTAATTACAAAGGGGATATTAATATGAATAAACTTGGTATTTGTTTGTCGGTAACTAGCAGTGGAACCGAGAACATATATTTCATTCTATTTAGGATTTTAACCTGAATACACCTACATCCTAATGATGTTCTCAACGTGACTCGAACTTAGGAGGTATTGCATTAAACACTATACCATCATTTACTTAAGCTATCAGTTTTAAAAATGAGCAGATTAGTATTGTTTTAAAGAAATTCACGTGATTAGTTTCATTGCTAATTTTGAAAAGATGAATGAAATTTACAGTAGGAGAAAAAAAAAAAACCGCGCACATTTTATTTCATGGGTGGGTTTTTATGTTAAAGAACCTAAGAAGACGAGTAGTAAGTAATATATTTCGAGATAAAGTTTAACATTTAATATACTGTACACTAGTGGATACAAGCAGTTCTAAGTAACAAGTATATAATATGAAAATGTGATGTATTACTTTGAAAAATCGCTTTTCAGTTAGTAAGTAACAAGTTCAAACCTCGTTCCCTTCCTCTCTCCACCTTTCAGAATTTTCACTACCACCTTATTATCACTATCTAGCACAGGATAATTTATAATGTGTCAATCTGTATATATAACTTTTAAAGTGTATTCTTTTTTTATATGCTTTACTTCACATGTTTATTAAACATATTTTCCTTTCAAATTAAATTAATCTACTTTAATAATATCCATTTTTATGTAGCCACGTGTTATCACTGTCAGTTCAGGTGGAATGTTAGTACAAAAACTTGATCATGCTGATCCAATGTTAACAAGTAAATATGGAAAATTCGATGGAACAATGATATATGCTCAAAATAAACGTCAACAAGTTGTTATGACTGAAATGTGGGCTAAAAACTATCCGAATATATTTTTTTGTTCAATGCATCCTGGTTGGGCTGATACACCGGTAATTATCATAATTTTTATTGTTATATATTTAAAAGTTAATCAAGTAGAAAGTTTTGTTTGATGTTGGCTTCACACTTATTGTTACTCATAAACAAAGTCTATCTGCAACATTGAATATGCTGAATTTTATTTAGTGTCTGAAATATGTAACATTCAGTGCTGAAAGCATATACTTCCTTGATAAGCCTGTCAAGTCATCACTAATCCATTGTAAGAATGGACTGTATGTACACAAATTGATCATTACTAGCAGCCTACTGATTGGCAGCACTTGGTTGAATTCTATTCTGTTGGGCTAGGCAGTGTCGAACAAGATGATGCAGTACATCACAGTGTTATTTCATTAAGCTTAGTGGCTATAACACAAACGTGGTCGATTGGCTTTTGTCGGTGCTAAGCAATAAGAGAGTTGTGTCATCATACTATTAACGTAGACATCAGATATAGAGACTTAAACAGAAGAGGTAAGTCACTTGAAAAGGTTGTGAAGCTGTACATAAGCTCAGATAGTTGGAATATGTGTTACGCATGTCTAGTTACCACGTCGTATCGCATCACACAATGTCAACTGACAAAACGTTTAGGGCAGCTAGACTGATTGTTGGTCTTAGCCGATTAGAGGGATGTAGATCTTCTGGTTTTTATGTCTAATGTCGCGCAAACTCGAAGATCTACAGGCGAAAACTAACAAGTTGACAGAAGAGACGAGGCAGCGAAAACAGGACTTAAAGTGAACTTAGAGAAGACAGAGGTGATGAAGAGATACCCAACCAACAACAACAAGCACCAATCACCACCAACGGGAGAAATGTAAAGAAAGTTGTCTCGTTCAACTACCTAGGCAAACTTCATCGTTTCAACTATAGGTGGCACAGATGAGGATATCAAAGCCAGGATAAGAAAGATAGCAAGATAGGCCTTCATTAATCTGAAATCAATGTGGAGATCTACTGCACTCAGCATAAAACGTGAACAACATCCGGATTTTCAACACTAAGTCAAGTCACTGCTTCTGTGTGGTGATTTAGAGACACGGCGCGTTACGAAAAGCATTTCCAACAAACAACTGCAGATATAAATCAACAGCTTCCACCTACGCTTACTTGATACTGAAGATCAGACAGAGCCAGGTTAATGAGACTGCAGAGAAGAGAGTCAAATGGCTACGTGTTACTGAATCCTAATGTTCCACTAGGAACCCAAAGGACTAATAATAAAGAAAAATAGATCTCCTGATTTGATTTCCGTATGACAACCGACTTCACTGAGCGAAGACTGCAGATGATATGACTCAGAATCATTATCAGCGGTGTAGATGCATCCATGCAGTACCTTTATATGATTCATTATATCGAACCCCATTATTATTTCATTACTTATCGTTCTTTTTTTCATAACTTTCTGCTGCTTTCGACTACTACCTTGATTTGTCGAAACGAGGTATGGCAAATACGATTGCTGCGCAGTGATTCCTAGTCCTACTTTGATGTTGTTTGCTTAGTAAGCACTTAGGATCGAACAAGTATATCTATTGCTCACTGATGAACGTTTTATTTGTAGTGCTCAGACAGATAAGACCACTATGGGACTTGTTATTACATAACTTTGAGTAAAAAGGCTATAATGTTGTATGATATTCTCGTTCAGATGAAGGGAGAGCACAATTTTTCTGTACTCATGCGATCGAATTTGAAAGATATCTGAATTTTGACCACATTTGCCTTCGTTGTATAGGCCGTATTCCGTGGTGTTACCGTGAGTTACGCCGAAGTCAGGCTTAAAGTTTTACGGAGAAGAGGTAAATCAGTTGACATGGTTGTGAACCTTCACCGACTGAGATGCTTGGCTCCGGCATGTATTACGCATGCCTAGTCACCGTGTGCCTCTTCACAAAATGTCGGCCGAAGTAAGTTCTAGCTAGAAAAAAGGCTCTTGGCTGCCTGTCCAGACTAAAACATGGGATCAATGTATGAAGTATTCGACTATTGGTCTGAGCCATGTAGGGCAATGCAGACTAGCCGTTTAGGGTCCGCGGGACAAGAGAAACCATTAGTTGGAGACTGACTGTAGGCGATATGGCTCAGAACAGAAGTCTTTGGCACAGATGTAAACACACATTATCCTCATCTTAATGACGCTATACCGAATCTCACCATTTTCTCATTCTTTTTTCTCTTAGAGTACTTTATTTTTCTTTTGACTGAATTTTCTTTTGTCCTTCTTCTACTTGACTGCCTTTCTACTTGATGTACTGATATGAGGTTTGGCGGCAACTCGGAGTGTTACACACTAATGCCTGGTCCTATGTTGATTTGGATAGATGGATATCTGAATTTCGCTGTCGTCTATAAAGCAATGCACGATAGTGTTCGAAGACTTGTTTGGTTAGAACACCTTTGTTCAACCTGTGTAACTAAATCCACAAGAGCAGGTCAGTTAATAGATGCATATATAAATGACCCAAATCAGTAGTAGTTTGGTCTTTCTCAGTTTCCTTGAAAGATAGAAAGCTTACAGTCTTATCAACTGATGCATTTCCTTCACCGGTGACATTACGTTGTATTCGTAGTAGTTCCGTGACATGCGTGTAGAAGCAAAGGTAGTCCAACTAAAGACATTTCTTAACCCCCTATTCAGTTCTATAAATTACATTTATTCTTGAAAGCTTATTGAGGCTAAGTTGTCGCTGAACAAACAGTACCTAGTATCATTCAAGCAATGTAAGGTGATCGATCAGTAAAGTAATGACTAATTCTTCATTTCAGCTCATTGCAATTGGTTTTGGCCATTTGAACATAATTATCATAAGACTTCTTTTTTAACCCATTAGCGTTTTGACTTCATCTTGTGGATATTTGATTGATAACCATTAATTCCCCGGTTCAAACTCACTCCCACCACCTTCTTCGGAATGACCAGTTGTAGTTCAATACACATCAGGGACAACTTATTACCTAATATATGAATCGGAGTACGACATCGTTGTTTAATGAAATGAATTTGAGCTCATTCGCTGACAATTGCGTAACCTCGTTTTTAGGACTTGTTAGTCGCTTTCACTTATATACAGAAAAGAATTTTTACTACCTAGTTAAACTCTACAATTATTATTACTATTTATTGACACACTTGTTATTCTCCGTTGTTTTGTTGGATCGAATTGTTTGACCTCTATTGGCATATGAGCTCCTATAAGGATGCCTCGATATTGCCTGAATGTTAATTATGATAACTAGTAATAACTACTACCCGTTGTACAAGAAGTGGCTATCGTTCCTGCGTGGCATAGTGGATAACGCCTTGGCGTTTGAAGCGATGGATACGACGTTTGAGTCTCAGTGGGAACTACATCAATCACTGGAGTACAGGTGCATCCAGCTGACCAGTAAGTTCCAAATAGGACGAAACGCATCATCATCATTATCAACATAAGACCAGGCATTACTGCGTAACGGTCCGAGTTGCCACACCTCATATCAGCACATCAAGTAAAAAGGTAGTGAGGCGAAGGATGAAGATAAGTGAATGCAGTCAAAAGAAATATAAAGTACGAGAAGAAAGGAAAGAGGAGTGACAAAATAGTGAGATTCGGTATAATGTAGTCAAGATGAGGATAATGTGTGGTATACATCTGCACCAATGACTTCGGTTCTGAGCCATATCACCTAGAGTCAGTCTCCAACCACTGGTTCCTCTTGTCCCGTGGACCCCAACCACCTAGTCTGCATCGCCCTCCGTACATGGCTTAAACCAACAGTCAGAGACTTCACACATTGGTGCCATGTTTTAGTCTGGCCACCTCAGGCCTTTTTCCAGCCTGGACCTATTTCGGCCAACATTGTGTGACGAGGCAATCGGTGACTAGGCATACGTAGTACGTGTCCCAACCATCTCAGTCTATGAAGGTTCATAACCTCGTCAACTGACCTACCTCTTCTCCCAAAACTCTACACCTAACTTCTGCATTACTCACATGGTGACACCACGGAATACGTCCTATACTACGAAGGCAACGGTGGTCAAACACAGGAAACGCGAAACGCGCATCCTAGATTCTTCTGCTAGCCACAACCAACCAAGTTATCGATAATTATTCTTTACCAACTAAAAATTTCACTCTGTTTCTAATTTATGTTTACATATTTAGGCTGTAGCATTGTCTATGCCATCATTTTATAATCGAATGAAAATAAACTGAGAACAGCAGAACAAGGAGCAGATACAATTGTCTGGTTGGCTATGGTGCCAAATGTGAAAAGATATCCAAATGGTTCTTTCTTTCAAGGTTATGTTAACTAGTTTATATTTTATTTACTGAGTGTATAAATTGTCAAATATTCATCCAGTATTTTAATCTAATAAGAGTAGTTAAGAAATCATTGAAAACTTGAAAGTACTGTATAGCTGTTTAACCCAACCTTCAACCTCCTCAGTTGCTTACATCTCTGACATTGTGAATGGTTGAACGCAAGATCTTGGAATCAAGTAGTCCACATTTTCAATATAGCGTAACCATCATCTAATTTCATCGGTAGACATTAGGTCCTTACTGTTCAATTCGTGTTGAAAGCCACTTTGAAATCTTTTTCTTCTCAAACATTATGATAAATATATATAGACAAGAAAAATTTCAACGTATATTGAAGTGAAGAATATTAGGTGTTCTACCTTTCTCTTGACCCTCAATCTTCATGAATTCCTTTTCAGTATTCAAATGAGCGCGCATTCAACTTTCTCATTATACCAGTAATAATATAACACTTTCTAATTGGAAATGATAATAATATAGCTGTGTTGAAAACAATTGTTGAATTATCACTTAGATTATCTAGGATAATAGTGTTTTGCTAGATTGATATCATTGAAACTGATTACATAATGCATGAGATGAAAACCTACGTTGTGATAGTATTCAAATTAGCCCAGTTTTCTAACAACTTAACTAAAGAACTTAAATTGCTCTCTGATACTTCAGATATATACCTTTCTGTTTATTTTTCAATACTATTCAAAATATTTTCGTTATATTTAGTGTATTATTAGAAGTATAAACCAGTGATAGGAATAATTATTTATTGATATGCCTATAATTCTCCTTTGTTTTACTTGATCGAATTGTCTGACCACTATTGGCTGATGAGTAAGAATGCCGTGACATTGATTGAGTGTTTATTGTGGTAATCTATTTGGTTGTAGTAGGCTAGCAGAAGAATCTAGGATGTGTGTTTCGTACTATTTGGGACTCGTCAGCTGGATGTACTTGTACCCCAGTGCGGAGTGATTTTGTTCTCACTGGGGTTTGAGTCCATGAATTCCCCCATATTCCAACAGAGGTCGAACAAAGGAGGAATACAAGCATATCAATAAATAGTAATAACTAACACCGGTTGTACAAGAGATTGCTATCGTGCCTCCGTGGTCTAATGGATAACGCCATAGCGTTTGAAGTGGTAGGTATAAGGTTCGAGTCACAGTGGGGCCAACATCACTTCGCGCTGGGGTCCAGGTACATCCAGCTGACGAGTCCCAAGTAAGACGAAACGCGCATCTTGGATTCCTCTGCTAGCTACAACTGGGTAGATTACCAGCAGTAGGAATATTCACGTGATTAATATTGAAATATACTACACATCTATCCCTACACTGTAGCTAGTTTCTACAGAGTAAAGCTTGTTCTAACAATTGACTCGCCACATCAATAGATAAAGTGCTTTTGTAGGCTAAAAATCGAGTGAATAATGCACTCTCTCTCTCTCCCCGGGGAAAAAAATATGGGAATATACGAGACAAAAAGGGCGTAGATGGCATGATTAAGCTGTCGGTTATATAAGTGAGCTTTATAAAAACAAAATTGGAACAATATGTATAAGCAAACAGAGGCCAATCAATAATTATTCACCTACAAATGAGAGACACAGAAAGAATAGAACACAGTAGCTAGATGGAATAGTATATTTGATTGATCGTACCAAAAATATAGCGATGTGTACTAACTAACTGGCTAAAAGATTACTTACAAGCAGCACAATGTAACACGATAACATGCCAAATAACGTGAGTGCTTAGGCGTGTCTGTCTTCAGTTTAACAAGTCCGTTAAAACTATGATTGTCAGCAACAATGTCGAATTTCATCAAACCTTATACTGTTGATCTTGGGAAAGTATTTGCCGCTACAACTCTAATATAAATAATAATTAAATCAATCATGTGGATTTGTCAGTAAATTTGATGACAGTCGCGCTATGTCGTGAATTGACAGAAGTTGGAAATTGTGAACCACTGGAAACCGACCCAGTGGCTGAATGGTTAACATGTTCGCCGTGAAACTTGGAGGTCGTGAGTTCGACCTCTAGCCGGGTCGTGGGTGCGTACTGCTGAGGAGTCGCATACTAGGACGAAACAGCTGTCCAGTGCTCCCAGATTTTCAATGGTTCCCCAACTGATGTCAGTCCATGATGAATACTACTAAATATTTTAAAATAATGATGATTATAACAATATAAAGAATAAAAACATGTGGTTCCATGATGAGACTCTTTTCAAAGATTTCCTTCATTCACCTGTAGACTCGACTTCGTTATATACACCTTTTTCTTCGTTAGAAATATGTACAATTTATTTGATGTATGAGACTAGTTAGTTAAGCAGTGGTGACAAACAAGATTATTACACATAGAAGTCGAAATAACACCCTTATCCTCAACTCATCAAAAAGCATGGTAACAAACAGAATTTAATGGTAATGTCCTGGCCACGAAACCTGTAGATCCTGAGTTCGACCCCTGATGTGGCAGGGTCATGGGTGCCACTTATTATTTTTCCCTTGGGTTCCTAGTGGAACATACGGCTTCAGTAGCACGTCTCCATTCCACTCTGTTCTCTGCAGCCTTTTCAACCTGGCTCCACCAATGCCCATAGGCTTTCATTTCTTCCTCACACCATCTCCTCCATGTCACCCTCGCCTCGGACACCCAACTCATAGTTTCCCATCTGAGTTCCACTCGAGGGCATGGCCTGGTGTCTGATGCCTCCAGTCGGTCTTCTCAGTGTATGCCCAATCCATCTCCACTTCCTCCTGTATATTTGTTGGGTGATAGGTTGTTGGTTGGTTCGTTAACAGCCAGTCAGAGTGAGTCCCTTGTTGCTTATCATCATTATTATTATTCTGGCCATCTGATCTTCAGTATCGAATGAGCGTAGGCGGCAGCTGTTGATGAATGTGTGTAGTTTGTTGGAAGTGCTTTTCGTGATGCACCGCCAAGTTTTTGAGCCATATAGCAGCACAGACTTGACTGAATTGGTGTTGAAAATCCGGATCTTGTTGTTTATGCTGAGTGCATTAGATCTCCACACCGATTTCGGATTAATGAAAGCCTGTCTTACTTTTCCGATCCTGGCTGATTTGACATACTCGTCTGTGCCACCACCTGTAGTTGAAATGATGCTGCCTTACCTAGGTAGGTGAACGAGACTACTTCGTTTAGGATTCTCCTTTTGACGATGATTGGTGCTTCTTGTCGTTGATGCTGTTGTTGGTTGGGTATCTTCATCACCTCTACCTTTGTCTTCTCTGTATTGATTGATAAAGGTTTGTGGTATTCCGTGGTGTTGAAGCAACTGCCTGGCAAATTGCTTCTCGGTCGACGCTGTCAAAGGCCTTTTCAAAGTCTATGAAGTTGAGGTAGGGTAGAGGGTTGACTGCCATTCTATATTCTGTTCTATGATGATGCGTAGCGTAGCGTTGCAATTTGATCCACACATGATTTGTTCTTCCTGAAGCTAACCAGTCCGTTCCGGTCGTAGTTTTGAATCCAGCGCATCCTTTAGTCTTTCCAGGATGATGCGGCTTAATATTTTGCTTGCTCCGGGTGGACAGGAGCACGCATGGTTCCGTGCCAGTTATTGCAAAGGCTAAGGTCGCCCTTCTTTGGTAGTTTGACAACGTAGCCCTTTTTCCAATCTGCAGTTACCTTCCCTTCCTTCCAGACTTTCTGCAATAGTGGTGTGAGCAGATCCGCTGTTGTCTCTGCGTCTCTGCGTTTTTAGTGCTTCTGGCGGAATTCCATCTGGTCCTGCTGCTTTCCCGCATTTCAGTAGCTTTATGGCGTTCAGGACTTTGACTTTTGTTGGAGGATTTGTGTTCACTGATAGTTCTGTGGCAGGACTGCTGGTGGTATTTCTGGACGAAGTGCAAGTGGTGGTCGGTACATCGTTTCCTTTGTTTCTCCTCTTTGGTAATTAGATTTCCTTCTTCATCTTTCATTGGTTTTATCTGTGTTGATCTCTCCCATCCCAGATAGTAACGTGGTTATTTGATACAATGTTATCAGGTCTCTGTCTTTTGTACCTGCAACCTGTTCTGCTTCACTTGCCAGTGTTTCATAAAAGTATCTTCTTTCTTTGCGTGCACTCTTCTTCACTTCCTCGCCCAGTGTTTTATACATTGTACTCAGATCCTCTTGTCGTTGAGCATCCTTGCACTGGTTTATCTTCTGATTCACCATCCTCCTCTTCCTGCTCTATCAGCTTCCATGTATCCATTCCCTGTCCTATCTTCTTTCTTCTTCCTTCCTAATATGGTTGTGCAGGTTTCTTTCCACATCTCTTTCAAAGACTTCCAGTGTTCTTCCACACAGGTTTCTTCACAGATGTTCCTCATTTTGTTCTCCCATTTTGTCTTGATGGCTGCCGTGAAGATGTCCTTTGTAGTTTCATCCTTCGATTTCCGAGTGTTGTACTTGAATTGAGGTCTATCACCAGCTTCCTTGAAGGCTTTTAACTTGATTTGGAAGGTTCCTTGCACTAGGTAGTGAATGGAGTGAACCTATATGTGATCTTCTTCTTGATGTGACCTTGTGTCCAGTAGGCTGCGTCTCCACTTTCTTGAAATTGAGATGAAGCCGATCTAACTTTTAGTGTAGTGTGTTTTGGTGTCTAGTGAAATCCATGTTGCTTTGTGGATATCCTTGTGCTTGAACACACCGCCTCACCTCCAATCACCAAATGGTTGAATGCACAGAATTCCACAAGCAATTCTCCATTCTCGTTCATCACCTCACCGAGCGCTTCTCGACCCATGGTTAGTTCTCTTCCTGTGTTGTCCCCTCCCAGTTTGGCATTCATGTCGCCCCACGCATTAGAATTTTGATATCGCCAACTGGAGTGGAGTCTTGTCCAGTGTTGATTGAAGTTGTCTG